AAGGTGTAGAGATGTGCAGGGAGGAAGATGTGCGTAATGGGATTACTTCTTTTTATCAGAAGCTTTATACCGAACCGCTTGCTTGGAGACCTAAACTTGATGGTTTTTATTTCGAGGCCATTTCCAAGATCGATAGGGAAGGGCTTGAGATTCCTTTTACTGAAGAAGAAGTTCTAAAGGCCTTATCTAGTTGTAATGGGGACAAAGCTCCAGGCCAGATGGGTGCACTATTCGGTTTCTTTTGGAAAGTTGGACAGTTGTGAAAAACGATGTCATGGGCACTTTTCAGGAGTTTTATTCTACTGGTGCCTTTGAGAAGCCGCTTAATGCAACTTCCATTGCCCTTATCCCTGAGAAGGGAGGTGCTTCTGACATTAAAGACTTTCGTCCTATCAGCTTAGTGAGATGTATCTACAAGCTTATGGCTAAGGTCCTTGCTCTTAGGTTGAAGGGAGTGATGGATGGGATTATTTCGGATTCCCATAATGCTTTTGTTGGAGGAAGACAAATTCTTGATTCAGTTCTTATTGCAGGTGAATGTGTGGACTCCAGATTGAGAAGTAGTGTTCCCGAAGTCTTGTGCAAACTTGACATTAAGAAAGCGTATGATCATGTGAATTGGAATTTCCTGCTTTATTTGCTTCAGAGAATGGGGTTTGGAAGTAAATGGAGGAAATGGATTGAGACATGCCTTTCGTCTGTCAAATTCTCTATTCTTGTGAACGGGTCTCCTGTTGGTTTCTTTGGGTGCTCTCGGGGTTTAAGACAAGGAGATCCCTTGTCATCTTTCCTCTTTCTTATTGTTATGGAGGGTTTAAGCAAACTTACGTAAAGAGCAGAGGATCTTGATCTTATCAAGGGCTTTATGGTGGGAAGAGATCCTGTCCATCAGATGAAGGTCTCTCATTTACTTTTTGCGGATGACACCCTGGTTTTCTGTGATGCTAATGTGTCTCAGCTTAGATATCTGAGGTGCATTTTGGCCTGTTTTCAGGCTGTCTCTAGTCTAAAAGTTAATGTGGCTAAAAGTGTGCGTGTTCTGGTTGGAGATGTTTAGGATATTTCATCTTTAGCGGAAGTCCTTGGGTGTAAGGTGAGTTCTTTTCCAATTCCGTATTTGGGCTTGCCTTTAAGGGTTTCCTCTATAACGGTAGGGAGTTGGGACCCTGTGATTGATAGGTATACGAAGAGATTAGCAGGATGGAAAAAACAATACTTGTCTAAGGAAGGGAAAGTTACGCTTATAAAGAGCACTTTATCGAGCCTTCCCACATATTTTTTATCTATGTTCCAAATTCCATGCTCTGTTGCTGATAGGATTGAAAAAATTCAAAGGGATTTCCTTTGGGGTGGAAGAGGTGATGAATTTAAGTATCACCTTGTCAACTAGGAACAAGTTTGCAAGCCAATGAAGTTTGGTAGTCTTGGTATCAGAAGACAGGTCCCCTTTAACCAAGCTCTTCTGGGAAAATGGCTGTGGAGGTATGGAAGGGAAAGACATCACCCTTGGCGAAGGCTTGTTTCATGTCGATATGGGGAAGAGAGTGGTGGTTGGTCTACTCGTCCGGCTTCTCTCGTGGGAGGAGTTGGGGCGTGGAAATTCATAAGGAAGGGATGGGACGCTTTTTCTACTTATATCAAATTCAAAGTTCATGATGGCAGATGTGTACGCTTTTGGGAGGATCTTTGGTGTGGAGACCAGCCTTTATCTTGTTTATTTCCCAGGTTATACAGTATTGCAGTTGATAGACATGCCTACGTAGCTAACTGTTATCAACTTAATAGCAGAGGGATTACGTGGGACGTGCAATTTCAACGCTTTTTTCAAGATTGGGAGGTGGACGAGGTATGTGTTTTCCTAGATTGTTGTATTGACAGGAGGCAGTTGGCAGAGGTAGTGATGATATGACATGGATTCCCTCTTCCCATGGTCGCTTTGAAGTTCGTTCCTTATTCTTATGTCTTTCTGATTTCGATATTGTTGATTTTCCATGGAAGACTATTTGGCGTTCTATGGCTCCAACTAGAGTGGCATTCTTTGTTTAGATCGCTGTTTGGGGGTAAGATCCTTACGATTCATAATCTAAGGAAAAGGGGCAATTGTCTTGTTAACTGGTACTGCTTGTGCAAACAAGATGGTGAGTCAGTTGCTCACATTCTCATGCATTGTCCTATGGCGAGGGATTGTTGGAATCTTATCTTTTGTCTGTTTGGTGTGCGTTGGGTTATGCCTCGTTATCCTAAGGATTTGATTTGTATATGGAGAGGATGCCGTGTGAGTAGCGTTGTTCGTGATTATTGGAGAGTTGTACCACATTGTGTTTGGTGGTGCATTTGGAAGGAGAGGAATAATAGAATGTTCGAAGGGAAAGAATCGTCCACGACGATTCTGAAACTTCACATCATACGCTCTCTTTTCAGTTATGTGAAGAGGAAGTCATGTTCTTCTTCTAAAGATTTAATTATTTTTTTTGGCTTCTTTAGGATCTTTTTTTTTTTTTTTGATAAGTAAAATTATATAAAGAAAGCGCTCAGAAGGGGAGCGAACCCAAATACAAACAAAAAGCCAAAAAGCGCCTCAAGCCTTCAAAAAGGCCAAAAAAACAACAATATCCTCTATAGATCTATAATCTCTCCCTGAAACCCAACAAAAAATGGTAGAAATAATAGAAAACTTAAGCATAGAAGAAGGCTTCTCCTTTCCATCGAAATAGCGCCGATTTCTCTCGAGCCAAATACACCACCAAATACAAAGAGGAGCAGCCCTCCAAGCATCCTGAATGAAAACCCCCACTAAGAAACCTCTCCAAGCCTCAATCAACCCTCTGGAGGAGCGAGGCATGACCCAAGGGATCCCAAACAAACCAAGCAATAAATCCCAACAATCCCTAGCCATGCTGCAATGTAACAGAAGATGATCCACAGTCTCCTCATCGCTCCAACACAAATAACATCGATTAACCACCACCTGATTCCTTTTCCTCAAATTATCCTGAGTAATAATCTTACCCAAGACAGAGGTCCAAGCAAAGAAGACCACCTTGAGAGGAGCCTTAGACCGCCAAATAGACTTCCAAGGGAAAGAACCTCCAAAGCCAAGCGAAAGACACCTGAAAAAGGACCGAACCTCGAAACGGCCCTAAGAGTTGGAATCCCAAAGCCAACAATCCGAATCCCCAACTGTAATCACCTGGCGGTACAACAAATCCAAAAAGCGGCTGACCTCCTCAATCTCCAAATCCTGAAAATGCCTCCTAAACTGAACATCCCAAGTCAGTCTCACGTTATCAAGATGATAACAGTCAACCACCATGGTCTGTCTATGAGAAACAATCCTGAAGAGCCGAGGGAAAGCAAGAGCAAGAGGACGCTCTCCACACCAAAGATCCTCCCAAAATCTAATCCTCCTCCCATCTCGAATACGAAAACGAACATGTTTGCTGAACTCATCCCACCCCTTCCGGATAAAAGACCACACCCCCACCCTTTTAGGACCACACACCTCAAGAGAACTCCATCCTCCAATACTCTCTCCAAATTTGATCGCAATAACCCTCCTCCAAAGCCAACTCCTCTCAACCCCAAACCTCCAAAGCCATTTCCCAAGGAGAGCCTTGTTAAAAGGTTGCAATCTCCTAATCCCTAGTTCCACTTTTGTATAAGGTATGCGTTCCCCTCTTGAATGCCTATTTTATTTCAATTATTACTTATCAAAAAAAAAAAAAAAAAGAAAAGGAATTTATGTAAATTGAATTCCAGGAAAAAGAGGGAGGGTAAGGCATAAATGACTCGGATAAATGTAGTGAGCAAAAGACTAATCCCCCTTGGTTCCTGACAGTATCCCACGAGGAGCCAAAGATTTCTAAAATATCTACCTCACAAAGTGGTTGCCTGCCTTTAAAAATGTTAAGTAGGTGACATGTCCAAGCAAGAATTCAGTAAAGGTGAGAAAAATCTTATATGACAATCAAGTGGGCCACCATCCATGGAATGGAGTAAAGAATGGCAGCAACCTAGCCCCAGAAAGTATTTAAAGAATTACACAGAATCATCCACATCTAGTTCTGATGTACTAGGATCACATATGCTGCATATGGAGACCCAAAGTATATGTGACAAAGCACTTTGAACAGGCTTTTAATGATACCAAAAACTCTGTATAAAAATCTATTGGGCAAGAATAGGGAACATTTTGCCCCACAAGAAGAATGCTATAGCATCCTTATGGAAAGCAAACAAGGGACAAATCTATCCATACTCACATAAAAATATCAGAGACGACCTAAACTGATTTGTTAACATATATAAAAGATTAGAGGCTCCCTTTGGAGTCAAGTAGTCATATATTTTAATTTTAGCTACAGAAAAATTGCATTACAATCAAATCGTTTATGCTCCAAATCAAGGCATAAGTATTTCTTGATAGATTCGCTATATCTCTTTTTATATTTACCATTAAGATTTCTAATAGGTTGCTCCACTTGAAGTCCAAAAATCATTCTTGCATATAAAACAGACCACAACTTAGAAGTGTCTGACATATGCATATCAACACACAACTTAACTAGATGCTTAACAGACATTGCAAGTAATTATTCACCTGCAATACTTGGAGAAAAATAAACTATCTCAGGGATCTAACTATGTCTAAGCACACCTCTGCTATCTAACAGGAAAGGTGTAGCTTCACCATACCATTCTTTCCCTACAAAGTTCTTTCCTTTTCACTTCTTACTATAATTCGCAACCATAGAAGTATTATTTGTTCCTTTACAAGCACCAAGGATCCAAGTATTTGTTGTCGCAGCAGTCAATATGATAATATATTCAAGAGACGAATATGATAATATCATAATAAGAGAAGAAATAACTAGCAGGACATAAAAGCTGCTTAAATAAAGAAAACAAGATCCAACTCAACAAAGCCTTTTCCAGCTACTTGGGGTATGCTATTTATATAAAGAAAACAAGTCAAGGAAATAATTTCAGAATGGCCTTACCAGCCAAGCTGCGGAGGGCATTCTCAGCAGCCTGTTGCTGAGCATCTTTCCTTGTCTTGCCCATTCCAACGCCAATTTTCTCACCAGTAAACAAGACCTACACCAATAAGTCAGTCTGTTCAGCTTTTCAACGTTCAAAATTAACAGAATTTGATACTTTAGGCTTTCCAACTCACTACACACTGAGAGGGGGGAGAGCAATTCAACAAAGAACATGATTACCAGTAAATTTTATAGCAATGTATATATATTTACAAAAGATAAAAGTATGACTATATAGCTCTCTTCATAATGCAAACCTTTTTTTTTTTTTTTATCTACCCAAGAAACAAGTACTATTACTAATTATTAAGTTTTCCATTAAAGGAACAGAAGAGAACTGTGGTAAACAATAAAAAAGTTGATAGAGAAAGGGAGAGTAAGCTTGGATCCTTTTGGCAGCGGCAGCAGCAGACAACATTTGCTAGCACCAACTTCAAAGGTTTGAGCATTTAAAAGTCATCTAGATATAAAAGCAAACAAGTGCACGTATATGACTTTCTACATTTTGTATTGCAATGAAAACTTCTTTGAAACCATAACTTTTTATTTTATTTTATTTGGATGTAAAATGCCAATACTTGAATAAAAATTATAAAAAGGAGGGAAAATATATTCTTACAAATAAAACTAGATTATAACTCTCTCCAAGTCTCAGAAATTGCATAATTAAGTAGTTGGCACTTCTTTCTAGCTAGACAATTCTTATGGGCCTTTGCAATTAAAAGGCCTCATATATTTCCCAAAAGAGAATTTACTTCTCTGTTTTGAGAGGTTAAATTTAATATAAGAGAAAAATCAAGGCTCTTAAAAGAAATTTGAAGCTACAGTAATAAAGCAGGTATAAGTGTATAACCAAGACTATAAAATTATAAAGCCAACTAAGAATTTTGATTTAGTATACTTCACAATTGCAATCACCTGCAAACAAATTTCCAAGAAGATTAAAGAAATATACTCCATTTTTCGGAACACAGTATATCTTTATCATCAATTAATAAATGTTGACAAACCAACCAGCATCTAAAGGCCAAGCAAATGGGATCACTAGATATAAAAATAACTAATACCATGAGCCTCATCATCACCACTTAGTAAGACAACCCCGCAATTTGAGAACTGAATAGTGAAAACCTAAACCATAAATAATTAAATTTTCAAATATAGAGCATAAATTGACAATGATATTTGATTATCACATAATTACAATTGTACACACATACTAACCTCAACAGAGAACTGCAAATCCTTACTGGTGCTTACAACAGACTTGAACTCAACCTACATAACAGAAGATGATATGATGAACCCAAAATCCAAGCAGAGATAATAACTTGTACTTGAAACTAGACTGTTTACCATACCTTTGAGCTGCATCTCCGGCCAATTTCTTGGAGTACTCCAATTGATAAAGAAGATGGCAGGAAGTTCACTTTCCCACCTTCTATCTGCAGTTCTCTGCTATTGGATGATGTTTGACTATGAGAGACACCAATCTCTATATAGGAAAAAAGGAAAATTCAAATCACTACATAAATATTTAGAAATATATTGGTCATGAAACAAAAAAAAATCAGGAGGGGCAGGCTGGGGGTTGGGAATCACAAGAATAAAAGCTGTAAATAATTCTGTTGTCCTGACTATTTTATGAAAATTTAGTAGAATAATGCAAATACTAAGGCTTCAAAAAAAAATTTGCTTGGATGGACCAGTATTTTAGGGGAGACATCAATTCACATGGTACATAGTACATACTAAAGCACCATGAAGAAATTGATATGCTTGATATGAATTGAGAATGGGACCGAAGGCTCTGATATGACAGAGTACTTGTACCTGAAAATAGACCTTAGAGGGAAGTGAATAGATCTTGTTCAATTTTTAACAATAATTGATTTTGCAATCTAACAATTACAGTTCAACGCAGCAATATAAATTAATACCAAGCAAATGAGCAATCACACATAAACAACAATTTTACGTGTAATATCCCAACAAGAGAAAACCACGATACCTAATCTAAGCAGAGCAAATCCACTATCAAAATAAAGGTAATTTTAACCCTAGGTTACCAAACTCTAACTCAATAATTTCCTAGTTACTCGCATATGACATTAACTCTGTTGCTGTTAGTCAACATTCCTCAAAAGATCTACTCATTGATCCGTGCTTTGATTTATATACTTAACTGACGTCCAATCCTATGTTCTTTGTATGAAATGGAGTTGATGATATTTTTTTAACCATGTCACTCTTCCTAACATGTGCACTTAGTGGTCTTCCCATATCTAAAACATCTTAATCGATTTTCTCTCATTTTATCTCCAATTACATTACTTCAACAATCTCATGAATGTGTTCATTTCTAATTCTATCCTTTCTTGTCTTACTGCATATCCATCTCTACACTAATATTTCTACCACTCACTTTAATGGAAATCAGGAAATGTACATTTTTTGGTAACTCTTGATCCTCAACCAAAATGCGACTGATAATAATATCTCCAAATACCTGATGACCTTGCTGCTGGAAGATTTTGCCTCAGCATTTCATATCCTGGATATGCCTGCAAAATAAGTAAGATTCAAGATGAACATTTAACACATAGTAACAACTGTTCATGAATGACAAAAACTAGCAATTATATATAGCCAAAGGAAAATGATATAGAACGAACCTCTTCACCCCTCACTTGGGGTATATGTGATATTAGTCCTGCAGTAGCAGAACCTGATGTACTATGATTAAGTGAATCCTGACGAGCTCGCTGTTTTTCAGCTTTAAGCAGATCAGATTCTTGAAGAGTTCCAGAAGCCCGGTTATTTGAATGTCCTCTATCCATATCTTCTTCCACTAGCCAGCCTCCTTGTGGTTGTATTGTGGGTATCGTTAGCTGCGTTGGTAATCTAGATAAAAGAGGAGGTTCCCCCGAGCCTTGATATCGTAAATCTTGACCATGATTCATAATGAGGAATCTTCGCTTAACATCAGGATCAGATTCAGAAAAGTTGCTATCTCGTCTAAAAGGAGCTCCAAGCAAACTAGGTTCTACAAGATAAATGGAAAAAGGAATATATGACAAGAAAAGAATCAAGATATATACATTACACTGTATAGCTTGCTTCCAAGACCTAAACTGAAATTCAAAATGTAATGAATAGGATCTTACTCTCTGAAGGTATGACTGTTCTTGAAAATGCTGGAGCAAAAACATTTTGAACAGCTGGCATGGGCAGCTGAGAGATTTCAGGCCTCAGCTGAGGATTACTAGTCATTATATGACTAGCAGAATCTGCTATATACTTTTCATCCTGACCCATATTAGGAAAGAGGAAATGGAAATAAATTCTCGGCATTATGAGAATCAAAAGGATTACTTGCATAGTAACAGAAACAGCAGAAAATAAATCACATAGAAGCAGTTCAATTGCCTCGTGTAAAATAAAACAAGATATTGGAATGCCAATAAAAATTATTAAAATAAAAAAAAAATAAAAAAAGACTACCAATTGGTGCAATCTCTGTGCAACTTCAGGACCATTCATTCCCTCAGCAATGGGAGCATTTGTATTTCCATTTGGTACAAAGCTAGCATCCTTAAATAAATGGAAACATCTGAATATAAATACCAACTTTTATTAACAAAATGAGACTCTAGAGTCAAATGTTATATTTAAATACCTCTGACATCAAGTAGTTGCTCACATCAGGTGCAGTTGGTAAATTTACCACGTCATCTTCATAGAAGAGTTCAGAAATTCTTCGTAATAAATGCTCATCAAACTCTCTGATTGACATGGCAGATGGACATATATCATAAGCTTAATAGAACACAATATTCCATAAGGAAATTACAATATTGCCAACTCTTCATTATGTCATATAAAAACTTCCTTAGTACAGAGTGGAACTTCTCTTACTTGAAAAAACCACCTCTAACATTGCATGCAACGTTTCTTGCCACACATAGGACCGGAACAGCATTTGCCGTCTATTTAAGAAAATATTGTGTTAGCATCACTTCTACTACAATAATGAACTGATTTCAATGAACACGCATAGAAGAAAGCAAGATATATACCTCTGCCTGAGGGGCATAATAAGGAGTAAATGCAGGTACTACATGAACTCGGGATTGATCCATATCTTCCCAAACCTTCAAGCGGTCATCAATCACCATAGCCATCTTTGAATGGCAATTGCCATTTTGGAAGACATGAAGCAAAGACTTCCTGGTACCTGTGAAGTAGAAAACAATTAAAAACAATGATGGCAAGAAAAAGAGAGATGATCGGAGATCTAGTATAGAAAACTATAGTGCACGGATAGACACTAGGAATCATAAAAAAGCATTTAGTCTGTTAAAACATCAGTTTCCATCTCTGCTAAGACATCCTACATATTAACTTCAATAAGAAATGAACAAAAAATTAGATGAAGAATATCTTTTGGTATTTCCATGTTCTAATGATTTATTAAGCACTAGAAAAATAAATTTAAGCATGATCCATGGTCAGGTCAACGTATTCTCAATATATGATGCTTGCCTGATTTGACGCATACAACACGGTCCAATAATTGCTTTGAACCTATAAGGTGCGCCTCTGGGTCTAGCAGCCTCCACATCTCTAATGCATAATCTCTTTCAGCCATGGTACAAACATAAACTTCAAATCTTTTACGCCCTTTTGCAGTTAAATAACTTCTCAAATCGTCCCAAGCAGGTCGTAACCTAACAAGCACACTAGTATCACGGATCTGCACATGCAAAAGACCACTAATTAATAGAAATTGTGCAAGGCCTTGTGTTTCAGAAACTGAAACATCCCTTTATCAAAATGGAGGGAAGTGAAACATATAGATCCACAGTTTAAAAACTGCAAAAAATGCATATTAAACCAACCAGTCCAATATTTCGTTACCATATAAGTCCAACAAACTGAACATTCTACATAAGACAGTTGGATGCCACAACAAATTTGAGCATAAGTTAGTAAAATATAAGAAAAATGCAACAGCCCTCACCTCATCAGCTAACAGAAGAAAAAGTTGGCATTAAACATGTTCCAGCATGAATACGGGGAGATGAGGGTCTCAAGTCTGGACAGCATTACCAATTGCCACAAGACCCTATTATGTCTTGCTCCTAAGCGAGACAGAAGTACCTCTGTTATAAACCAACTTATTAAATGAACATTCTAGAGGCTTGCTGAGAGCCTATTATCAACTTGTTGTTCTTAAAGAAAGCATCACTACTTTAGCTATTTGTCTAATAGCCAACAAGAATTGTTGGTACATACGTACAATGTGTGCACAAGCACAAAAATTCAAACCATTTATACATCCCATGTTTCTCGGATCAGGACTACAAAAAGTTCAAATGCATATGGAGCTGGTTGTGTGATTTTAGCAATGTTCTTCGACCACAATAATGTGCAGGTGTCAATTAAAATGAACATTCAACTAAAATCCACCTTAAGTAACTTTAGTTATCCAAGTACCGGGACATAAATTGAACAGGATGAAAAAAATCACTTATCGGATGAAGCATGATCAACATAATAGCAGTGTTTCATAATAGCTAATAAGTTGTGTAGCAAACAATGATCATGCATGTCACACAGTGGAACCAACTGTTACTAATGGAGCAGCAAAAATATTTTACAGAGTAACTCATCAAGTTAAGGACATGTATGATATGTGACGAAGAATCAAACTGCCATTATTGGCAGTCAAAACAGCATCATGAATTGTAAAGTGTGAAGCTTCAAATAGCAACAATGCACAAATCTTCAACCGGTCACCTTTATTAATTGATTTGAGGCTAAATTTCACATTCTTTTTTTTCCTGGGCATTGATTTATTCCTGTATAGCATCACCAATAGCAAACAGATTGAAAGTAACTTGGGGATACGCTAACAGTTCAAACTCATAACATAGTGCAAGGAAGCAATTGAACGATAATCAAGCACAAAGGTAGAAAGAGAGAGAAGCTGAGATTATGTTTCAAGTAGACCTAGAGACATATATACTTAGCTACATTCTAATGGAAAAACTTTTAGAATGTGTATAGAGGCAGCATATGAAAAGTCATTAATCCCAATTCAACAAAACGTCCGAAATTCAAAATCATGTATATCATAACAGATCCAAGGGTTAAAGAAACTGATCTATAAGCTATTTCAGTTGAGTCAAATTAATCAGTATTTTGTGATCAGTTCTTGCTTAGGGAGTGTTCTCATATAACATATGTCAAAGCTTCATTAGCAAATCAAATTGTGCTTAAAGTGATGTTCCAACTTCTAACGCCAAGAGTAATTACTTTACTGCAGTCATTATAAACCCTACATCAACCTATTCAAACGAGCATAACAAACTACTGAAACAACATACATAACAAAATTGATTGATTACATATATACAAATACAAACACACACATATATAATTGCAGATAAAAGGATGGCAGCGATGTTTCAACTTCTAAAGCTATGAGTAATTACTTTACGGTCTTTACCACAGTCAATATAAACACTCCACCAATCAATTCACATAAGTGACAAGCCGAACAGACTACTGAAACAACATATATAACAAAATTGATTGATTACATATATACATATACAAACAGACACATATGTAATTGCAGATAAAAGGATGGCATCTACATCTTCTAACCTCAGGATTAATGCGAGTGAGAACTACATTCCTTTCCGGCAATCGTATAACAGGCCGAACAACTCGCTCATAGCTTTCTGATAAAGGAGCTACCTCCTCCAACTGAGCATTATAAACCTTCCCATTATCCACAAGACAATCATTCTCTGTGTACTGCTTCAACAAAGCACGATCATCGACGTACCGCTTCAGCTCAGAGGACATCCCCAATACACGGATTTGGTCCGTTTCTCTTGCAATCCAAACCCGTAAAGCCTCAATTCTATCCTCAAACGACTTCATAGTGTTTGCAACAATCAAAGTCTCATCAAGATCAAACACAATGGCAAGACATCGTAAATTTAACATTCCTATACAAGAATTATATAAACCAGATGGAACACTGTAGCACCAAAAACACGGAAACTTCTTCTGTTTACTCGGCATTGCCACCAAGTGAACCTCTTCCTCTCCAAGCAACACCACAGCCGTCTGTAAAACCAAATGGTATAATACCATCAACATATTTTTGAAAAAAAAAAAAATTACTACGTGTAAGAACTACAACTGTATTTAACCATGTGACAATTGATCGTGCTTAAAATGACTCATATGAAACCTGTATATGTGATCTACACAGTTATAATGGAACTGATACATACAAAAACAGTATATCAGAATATATATTTATATAGTACATATATAAGTATATTTATGTGTGTGTAATTATGTGGCAATTGACAGTGACCTTGAGTTCGTAGAAGCAAGAGGCGTGAAGATTGATCAAGTGAGACTGTTCGACCAGCGAGGTCGATTCGAGCTTGCATCGAACTGAAAATGAAGAGATTGTTTGGAGGATTGAAAGAGGAGGGCATCGTTCGCTGAGGGGTGATATATGGTGGATTCGAATCTCGTTATTGGGGAATTGGAAACTCTGGTCCTTGACTGGGATAGTCTCTAACTCTCCCAAACAAGAGTCTCCATGGTAGACCACAGATTTAAACCCTAAACGACTCATTCGATTAACTATCAATCAGCTCAAAAATCAAAATCAGTGAACAGAGATACTATTAGCAAATCCAGAACCAGAAATGTGTCGAAGAATTAGGGCTTTTTTGTTCTCTCACTCTGCACCTTCCTCCTCTCTCTCTCTATTTCTCTCCCCTCCCTCTCCTCTCTCTCCCTCCCTTTGCCTGCGGTTTCAAACAATGTGGTGAAGCAGTGTATATATAGGAGCGAATTGGTCGGTTATATAGAGAGAGAGTTCTTTTTGAAGGAATTTACGGAATTGCCTGCTTGTCCGTACAGATGGTCTCTTTATCTGGCATGCGATGACTGCGAAACGGCGTCGTATTTTTGGAAAACTGATTTGACAACATTTTGTACAAGTGTCCTTCAGATAAAGAGTGTGATCTTGAGGAAGACATCTCTGAGCCGTCCGATAGTCTATGGATATAATTTTTTATTTTCGAAAATTATGGATATAAATATATAATTCCAATCTGTGAAAATGGAAGCATTTTCGGACCCAAAAAAAAAACAGAAATATTTTCCGACATGGCCTTTCGAGACTTATTGGACCAAGCTCATTCGTTTTCTGAGCTTAGATTTGGACTTGGGACATGTGAGCTTCCGTGACATATTATGTTTTAATTTATTAAAATAATTTAAAAACTTTTTTATAAATTATGTTTTGGTAGAAAAAGTTTCAAATTATTAAGAGAAGGAATAACTATGTCTCTTCAGTTAAGTCCTAATTTTATATAGTAACAATTAAAAACACAAATTAAAACAATATTTCAATTTAAAACACAAATTAAAATAATATTTATAGAATTGAAAATAATAAATTATGTAACACCCAATTTATGGACTGTGAGATATAGTGCAGAAGCCCCTCCCTTTAACGGTCAATGTAAAAAATTCATTTTTTTTTTTTGTTTTTGGGAGTTAGCTCCCATTTCGAGTCAAGGGAAATAAATAAATAGACACATCCCGTTACACTGATCAGGATCGTTAGTGACTGAGGGGGTCGAAGAACAAGAAGTGAGTTATTTATACCAAGTATTCTTCTTACGGTTAAATCCAATCTCCTGGCCCTTGTGGAAAGGAAAAAGAATTTAACGCTTTTCCTTTCGAAAGAAGGATTAGACAGACATAGAATTCCTTAATAAATGCAAATCTTTTGTTCTACCTTATTATTCTTCTAATATTGATCATTTTTTTCTTTATGTATCTAAAATTCCGTGTACAAATGCATTCCAAAAATTAGATAACACTCAAATGTTTTCTCAAATTATAGGTTGATTCACATAATTTTCCTTAAATTCACGAAAGTAGTAGCTACCCAGTATTTTAGGTTTAACGAATCACAAAGTCAGTTTCTTGACAAAGAGGAGAGAAAAAATGGTTTTCAGGAGTGGAATCCACTCAACTTCCTTTTTACTTTACTTCTGCAATCGTGTATTAAATGAATCCACCAGCAATTTCATTTCCACTGTTGTACTAAAAAAGGTAATGGAGAAGACTATCAGATAAGAATTTCTATAAATGGTAATCTTATAGTTACAGGCCTACAGCTATAAATCTGAGAAATTCCATTTGTTAGTGTATCTTGTGGGAATGTGATAAGATGAAGGTCTCTTTCCTGTCTCTACCTTTGAATGGCATTTGAAATTGAGAGATGCCAAATCGCATGCTTTAAGAAACATTTTTGTTCTCTAAAACTTATTTTGTTGAATGTCTTATGAAAATTGTTCTCTAAAACTTATTTAATCTGAGTGTTTTATAAATTAAACCTAATAGGAGATATGGATTATGATAGAAAATAGTAGATAAAGAAAGTTCATACGGCTATGAGATAAAGGCAAGGATGATAATCACCACGATGAATGTACCAAGTTTGATATTACAGCACATGAATACGAATCTATATATGCATTCCTTCTATAGGTGAAAGCTCTACAACAACACACTCTGCTACATTGCCATTCAATTTTTCTCTCCAGCACTCTTAATTAACTACAAAATTTAATGCTGAGGTAGAAACATTGTGCACAAAATAGAAATTTATGGAAGATAAAGAATTGAAGGAAAAAGGAGCTGCAAATTCCCCAGGCATCTAAAAAGAAAAGTCACAAGTTGCAGTTCAGAACATCACGAGGCTATTAAGCACACACATATGCCTCACCTAGGAAGCATTTGTGTGACACTATGAGAACTACTTAATTGGGTTAAGGTTACAAAAGGATTTACAGATTTCTTGCCTTTACATGCCTGAGGGGATGGTGTCTCCGTTGAACTACCGCCGCCCGAGCGCCGAGATGTGCGAGTCCTACACACACCTGGCTCTGTTAATAACTTGTCATTGAGGTTAACCTCTTCGGAAAGCATCTTCATCACTTGCTTCATTGATGGTCTTTGGTGAGAAGACGCTTGAGTACAGAAGAGTGCAACCTTAATGAAGCGCAACACCTCGTCCTCTGGATATTCAATCAACTCTGGATCAACAATGTCCAGAATCCTTTCTTCGTCTTTCAGCTTCCATGCCTGCATCAATATCCGTATTTCAGCCGGAGCATACAAAGACAAAATGACTTCAATATTAGTTAATACTCTGAGCAGGGAACACAGGAAAGTACAAACGCTAAAATGGGGAAAATATCCAAATTTGAAGTGTGAGGTCGCCTAGTGGGGTATGGAGTTTTAAGACACCTGATCTTAAACTCACCAGAAAACGGTCTCATTCATTTGTTGACTCATATAGTGAATTGCGAAAAATTAAATGGCATGCTCACATTAATTTCTGGTCTTATCGATTTGACCTACAGTGGCCAACAGAGAAATTTGGATGGCCATCACAGGAGAGTAGCTAAACACATAAATTGGACAGTGACAGTTCACCCAGCTCAGTGTAAACAGTGAGCTTCCCAAGCGACTGGAATGTAGGAGAGAAATTTTTCAATAATTGAAAAGTTGAATCGTGAGAAGAAAACTCAAAATCTTACAAAGCCTAGTCTACTCAAACCAGTGATGAGGCTCCAAGTTTTTATTTATTTATTTATTTGTTTTTTTCAACAATAAGAAGAAACAAAACAATGATTTGCAATGTGTTTAGTGTAATTGATTAAAGAAGTTCAAAACCCACCCATTCCACCAGAACCAGCAGATCCTCCCCAAATGCTGCCTTACTACCACTTCTGCCACTTACTATTTCAAGTATAAGCACCCCAAAGCTATATACATCTGCCTTCTTTGTCAGCTGGCCTAACAAGGCATACTCTGGAGCTAGATATCCGCTGCAGAAACAGATAAGATGAATAGTGAAATAGAGAGTGGAAGCATGAAGAGAAGAGAGGCAGAAACCGGAAAGAAGATAACATAGCTTGCCACAGCATCATATCCTGCTGCTGAGTAAATCAAAATTATGCAAACGATAATCTTCTATATTTACATGAATGACAATTAGTACATGATGCATGAGCAAAATAATTGAAATTTTGAAACAATTATTCAATTTAATTCTCTGAATAGTAAAACATTCTCAAGTCATCAGGTAAAATTGTTGTGAAATTTGCAGATAATTGTGAAGATAGCCAATGTTTGCTAATTCAATGCATAACTCTACAATGTATAAAGCGAGTGCATGTCCATGCCCCAACTAGTCATCCCTAAATCAAGCAATCAAAATAAAAACTTCAAGGTCTCAACTAAATCAGTGATGCAACACATCAGTTTAAACATCTGTCGGATGTCAACAATGGTGCAAGCTATGCCCATTTGATGTTTTATGAAATTAAAAGCTGCCTAAGGCTAATGCTCCATATAAGATGAATAAAATTATGCACCTGCTAATTTTCGTTACTTCAATTCTCTGTCTTATTGTGATAGCTGTAGTATGTATTCTTCAGCGGAAACATCCAACGATGCTTCCTCTAGATTACCAGATCAATACAAATTCCTATTAACTTCTAGAGTCTAATCCATTAAAGGAAAAAAGAAAGGACTGTAAACCACAACCTGTGCAACTTTCTGCAAAATCAAACAATTTAAGTAGCACACCACGAAAACATTTTTAGAAGAAAATGCAATCAGATATCATGCTTACACTGTTCCTGCCACACGAGTACTAACATGAGATACGTTGTCTGGAAAAAGTTTCGCCAGCCCAAAGTCTCCTATTTTAGACTGAAAGTTTTCATCAAGAAGTATATTACTGGCCTTTATATCTCTGTGAACAATATGTGGCTTGGCTTCCTCATGAAGGAATGCAAGACCAGAAGCTGTGCCCATACAAATGGCAGCCCTCTGAGACCAGTTCAAAGCAAGGCGTTTACTTTTTGAACCTGAAATGGACATAGACCTAGCTTAGACTAAAACCTGATAAATTCACAGTATAGGAAAAAGAAATATCTCGAGCAAATAAACTATATGATTTCTAAATTCAGAACATAAATTTGATTCTATAAACATAATTGTGTAGAGATCAATGCTTTCATCAAAAAATAGTTAAATAACTTGGTAAGTTTACTTCTTCAAGTGCCATAATTTGGCCAGTGGTCAACTATAACTAAAATTTTAAAGCAACTTTTGTTGAAATCAACTGACCAAACTTGAGAGAAAGGTAGGAGCTGGAAAAATGGGAAGTAACGAATCAGCTCTGATTTTAATAACTGATTTTCTTTACAGTTCTTTATTTTTCATTTCAACTGACATAAAAGGCAATCTAACAAAACAATTCAATGTTCTCATAGTTACCAAGTAAAGCTATAGCAAGGCTGTTGTTCTCCAGATATTCATATATCAATATCCGATTGCTGCCATCAACACAACATCCAATCAGATGAACAAGATTTGGATGTTGAATATTTGATATCGTATTAATTTCTGTCAAGAATTCATCTGTTCCTTGTTTCGATTCAGCAGAAAGGGACTTGATGGCCACTCGGGTACCATCCCTTAAAACTCCCTGCAATCAGATACAGTAGTATGGGTAAACAACAAAGGGGGAAAAGAAAACGAAAACCAGGCCAAAGAAGCACATCTGCACAACTGTGATGTACTGGGAAACCTTATTTATCTCTTTCCTCGAGTGGAAGCTCTAGTGGGAATATAGTTTACTGACAAACATAATGGTCTCACCTTATAGACAACTCCAAAACCACCTCCGCCAATCCTGTTCGATGGATGGAAGTTCCCCGTTGCTGATCTCAATGAATTATAGGAAAAGAGTCTTACATTGTTTGTAGCAATCCCTAACCATGCACAAACACATAACAAAATGAGCATGTAAGTGCATTATGAAATCAATGTATAGTGTAGAAACCTCGCTAATCCAGAAATACTGCTTAGACTAAAATCCTGCTAATTTGTGTTTTAACTTGAGCAAAATAAAAAACATAAATTCACAACCACCAAAAAAATCAGTTTAATTGTTGGTTCATACCTTTTAAAACAATCTTTTACGTGGGGAAAAAAAATCTTTTACATAGGAGGAGGAGGGGGTATCTTTTACACTGAAGAAAATGATCCGTATTAGATACTAGTGAAGAATTTTGACACACCCACTGGATCAAGTTGGATCAAAACCATCTGTTTACAGTTGATAAATAAGAACCTTTGGAAAAATCGTTGTATTCCATTTGAGGGAGGCCTTAACTAACTAAAGATGAAAATGGGTAAGAAGCGGGAGTCTAGAAATACAGGGAAAAAAAAAAAAAAAAAAAAAAAAATTTCTCCAACCTGATTTTATCAAACTCTGACCAATTATTAAACATATTAGAAAATTAAAAATAGGTGCCTAAAAGATCTTAAATCACTCAAAATTATACAGAATTTTTATAGTTTTATGCAGATTCAAGAACAACAACACTAAAACCTTTTTAAAAAAATGTTTAATGAACCAAGGAAGCTCAATTCTCTACCTCTTTTAGCTTGAAACACGAAAACTAAATATCTAAACGAAACCCCTAGTATAAAACGGTTCATACCACTGATACATTAAATAAAAACCAAGTAGGAATTTACCCAGAATATATCTATATATATATATATATATATATTTTTAATAATATTATTCATATGAATCTTCTCACCTTCTGTCTGTGTCTGATTGCGACCACTCTTATCTTTACAGGAATTGAATGCACCGAAGCAACTAAAACTCATTGCTTCCATATAGTTTAGTACAAACTATACCTTCAACCACATCTCTTCTTCAATCCAACACCTATCAAAATCCAACTGATCAGAAAGACACAACAAACATATATATAGCCACACACTTGTAGTGATCTGTGACCAGAATAGGAATCACCGACATGAACAGAAACATATCGGGTCAAAAACTCTGAACTACTTACTTTTAAATTCAAACACTAACCAAAACTCTTTGTCAAATCGAATGACGCTGTGGACGGTGCAAAATCCAAATCGTAGTTGGTGGGTGGAGTTGCTAGGATAAAAACCCAAAAAATATTGTGTAAATAGAATTGGAAACAACACCGTCCATAATATGTATGTGTGTGTATGTATATATATTATTGGGGAGGTTTCTTCCAGTTTGTGAAGATTTGATGATAAAGCTAAAACGGTTGGTTTTGCATACAGTGATGGCGACTTCGTTTACTTTCTGGATGAAAGACGGCCTTTTTATCACACGGCGTTCGTTGAACAAATAGCCCAGAAAGAGTCAACTTCCAGAATGAGTGTTTGAACAAATTGCCTGTTCCATGAGTGCTACAAAGATTTCCATTACTCTTTTGTCTCCTTTCCTTTTCTTTCTTCAATTTATACCATTGTGTTTAACAAATGGCACTTCCAGAATGAGTGTTTGAGCCGATTAGTGTCAGTATCTTATAAATAAGAGAGTATTACGAGTATTTCTATCATTTAAATTTAAAAACATAAAAGAATGAAAGATTGTGTTTATGAAAAAAGATGAGTTACGATACCAGTTGATCAAAAGTGGGTGAAATTTTTCATGGCACTGTAACAAACATATTTATTGTTGTCAAAGTACTCCCTGTACAATATATATATATATATATATATATATATCAAAATTTTGTTCCAAGTGTATTTTTTAAAATAAAATTTTAAAAAATAATACGCCAATTTAAACTTATTTACCCTGTGCCACTAACTTAATTTCTTCCATCAGATATCTTAATGTAGATCTCATTAGAAACTTTATTTTAATGGATTCAAAAATTTTAAGCGTTTCTGTCAGATTATTGGAGACATAATTCAATTAATAAACCTAAAAGATAAAATTTTATTTTAAAAATATTTTTTATAAAATTATTAACTAAACAACTTTATTAATTCTAGATAACAAAACCAGTTTCACTATTTATTTCAACTGTTCTGACAAAATGCCATCATTGCTTAGGTAATCTACGACTATATCAATCAAGTTGCAAAACAGCTGTCTCTCTCTGGTTGTGATTTTTATTTTTATTTTTTTCTTTCTTTATGTTTCTTTATTAGTTTTATTTTACCATAATCATCATCTTTTTGCCTTCTGCTGTATGTTTTTTTCGAAAGGTCTCTTCTATTGAGCGCGTTGACAATGTAGTTTATTTAGTACTACGTAATATAAAAGCTTGAAATTCTATACGGCGGCAAGAGAAAAAATTTATTAGCGTTGACTTCTTCTAAAACGTCCACATTTTCAAATTGAAAACTAGATATATTATTCTCCACAAATTAAACAAACAAACCTCATTCGCTCCAAATAAATTTTAATATTGTTGCAGGCATTTGCCTATATTCTTATGAACAATACTTGTCTGCCTTATTGTTAATACTTCATTGTATCATGGGATCATGTTTGGTTTTATAATATATTAAAAAATAAATTATAAAATGTAATTTACTTATGAATATGTTAAAATTAAAACAAAATATAACTATATATGTGATGATATCACAGTGGTACTTCATAATTCAACTTAAAAGTGTTAGTTATTAGGTGAAGATTAACACCCAACTTACATATATCCATTTCACTTCTTATTCGAATTTAATATGGAACAAAATTTAACATTAGACGATTGGATAATGTCCTCATCGAAATTCAATATACTTGAGCTGTGGAGTTCAATATATTTTTTGCTGTGGAGGGACAAGTTAAGACATCTAAGAGTCTTCAACATGTTTGTAATATTTTGAATTTATTGATTCCATTTCAAAAAATTATACTCATGAAAATTCTAAGGGTGCAACTATTTCGGATCAATTTTCAATTTTTAATGAAATCCAAGTTATCTAGAACATAGAAAAATCACATAAAATATATTTTTGTTGTGGACATGTTTTTAAGGAAAAAAAATTAATGAATTAGTTCTAAAAGTATTCTGACCAACCAAACTAGCTCGTTTTTCAAAATTTAATGAATTAGTTAATTAGTATTGGTTTGAAGTAAAAGGTGAAGAGATCTTCAGCTCCACTCCCCCCACTTCCAACCGCCCAAAAGAGAAATAGGGTGGAACCGTGGAAGGATGCCGGCCGGCGGCGGCGACTGTCTATACAAGTTCTTATATAATAATAATAAAAAAGAATAAATGTTAATTCAGCTTAATAGTTTATGTGGTTTAGATCTCATTTGAACAATGACTCAACAACCATCACTACTCCCTAGTTGCACTATTATTATCATTAATTCCTTTTCATGAATGCGATGATGTTGAAAAGTTGAGTCAAGCATGGTAAACAACACAAGTCTAATTGTAAGACGTCCATTTCAATGTGAAAGAGACATATAAACTAACAAAAGGACGCAATTAAGGGTCAAGATTTCATCATATATATGCACGTTACCGCGTTAATAAGAATCACTAACTTGAGTCAAACATAGAAAAAATGATGCTGAGAGTTGATAAGTTTGCAGTGAAAATCAATTCACTCCATAGAATTAGCAAGAGTTGTTATGATTGTTTTAATGGAGTGTGATTGGGGTTCTATAGTTCAAACCCACTATTTTGATATTGCTACAAGTATTACATGAACAAACAAAAAAGTCAAAAAAACGTTACACTTTCTTACAAGTTATCCTTCTGGAACTCAAACGTATGTTACCGGGGAAGTTTCCAAGCAAAAAGTTGAAATCATATTGACGTGATTGAGATTTACCTATGTATATAGATTAGTTATTCTGCTAGGACTCATATTTCTTCTAAAAAAAAAAATTCTTTGTAAGGAAAAAAAAAAATTAGTCATTTATTTTGACTAAATGCCTCCATTTTTATTTACAATGCACGAAACTATCTAGATGAGATGGCAATGGGGGCGAGTTTGGACGGGTGTACCCTCTCTCGCCCCCACAACTGTTTAAAAATCCTGCCCCCGTTCCCGCCCAAAACTTAAAAAACGGGGGTACTTTCCACCCCATCTCCATAACCGTTTAATATTTTTACTCCCGCGGGTACCCACCCGGCCCCGTTTAAGACCATAATTTATTTATTGTTGAAATAGATTTGCTCTCTTTTTTTCCCCCCTCATCTTCAATTATTCACCATTACAAATTTCTTTTTAATCAAATTCATTTTTTACTTTAATATTGTTCTATAGGGTACTAAATATATAGTGGAAAATATATATACTAATGAAATATGAATACTTAAGTAATTTGCCTATCTAAACGGGGCGGAGCGGTGCGGGGCGACCTCCCCCCGCCCCCACACCAAACCCGTACGAGTTTTTATTACATCAAACCATCTCCGCCCAAATAAGTAAAACGGTCCCCCAAAACCGTAAAAAACGGTGCGGGGTGGGGCAGGTAACCGCGGGGGCGGGTCAAATTGCCATCCCTACAGTCTCATCCAATGCGGAGCAAGACTATTTACATTTGACCCTAAAACTATTTACATTTGATCTTATTCCGCATTGGCGAGAGTCTCAGGCAGTGCACTGGGTTAGCCTTAATATATATATTATATATATATTGGTGTATATACCTGATGATAGACAGCCTCAGCCTGAGTTTTTTAGAATTTTGCACAAAATAATGGTACCCAGCTCGATTGATATAAATCATACAAAAGCCAAGTGGATCAAAATAGGGAGTGTACCTCATTGGCTCATTCAATGATTGTTATGGTGTATACAAAACCTATTATGATTTCACATACCAACATCCCACAAAGTCTTACTATTCACAAGCTTGGAAATTTAGAAATTAAGTACATATCCACACTCCTCAATCCCTTGATACAAGCATCTTCATTATAAACTTAAGGGAAAAGTGCAAAAAACCCCCGTGAGGTATTGGGGTTTTGCAACTAACCCCTTGAATTACATAAAACACCCTCGAACTAACAAATTGTTACATTTAACCCCCTTAAACTAACAATAGGGTGCCGGAAAAGCCAAAAGACAACATTACCCTCAATTAATTAACCTCTCTTTAGTTTGGGCCCTCATTTTTCTGCAGAGAGAGAGAGGGAAAAAGAGAGAATTGATGCCCCATCGCCGTTCAAAGCTGCGATTTGGAGCAACGAAAGAGAGAGAAATTGACTCACAAAAGAAAAACAAAGCTGCCTCCTTCAAGAAAAGAGGATAATTCTGCTTTACAAGTGGCTATCCGTTGCTTCTCCCATCGCCGTCGAAAACGGGTTGTGTGAACGGCGATTAGGTTGTGCGCTTGGGCCGTCGATTGGCGATTGACGACGCTAGGCGATTAGGTTGTGCAATTGGTGACTACGATGATACGTGCTAACGGCGGTGCGTGGAGGATAGGCTTGGGGGAAAGCTTGGCGATGGCGGCAACTATGGTTGTTGGGGAGAGGCGGCGACTGTGGTTGTTAGGGAGAGGCGGCGGCGGCTGTTGTTGGCGTCGGTGCGATGGTGGTGGCTGTGGATGAGAAGCGGCGACGGTGTGGGTATATTGGGTTGCTCTATTTTTTCTTGAAACACAAAGAGAGAGAAACGACGGATCTGTTGAAGAAGCCTTAGCAGAACTTCACGGTAATCTCGAAAGTCTCAGAGCTTCTACGTCTCTGTCTTTTTCGGCTACCTTTCACGGCGTCAGTTGTGTCATACGGTGGTCGCAGGTGTCACAAAGGGCGGCTTCGTCCGCGGAGCAGAAGACAGAGCCTTGTCAAGCCCAATTGCGTCAAACAGAACCATTCCTTGTCCTTGACAACTATGTTCGACGACAACCATTCTCCGTGGAGAAAAACAATTACACTTAAGTCGTACTTCACCGGAAAGGAGGGAAAAGGAGTACTGTAAAAAAAAAAAAAAATGAAACCATTCCTTGTCAAACAATACTACAATACTCTAACTTCCATTGACTAAAGGATTCCGGCGAGTTACAACAGTTATTGGGAGATTAAATATTGATTTAGATTGTTAGAGAGAGATGAATCTTTGATTTAGAATTTTAGAAAGAGAAAGAAAGAATATGAGAGAGTCACAACTTGTTTCGTTGAGAGATTCTCAGCAAAACTTCGCTTTGGACTGCGACCAGCTTACGACAATTTCATTGGTTTCATCCACACCATCGATTGGAAGGTACCCCTTTCCGTTTCTCTCTCTAAAAGTCATCTCTCTTTCTAGAAACCAATTTTGATCAGTACATCTAAGCAGGTCCAAACAACAGCATATTATATGTACCCATCACGTCTTATGTTAATTTCTTGCTTCATTGTGTTTTTTTCTTGATACCCACTTTGATGTGTAAATTAGTGGAATCTGTAATGAAACAATTATGGATGGTTCATTTTGATAAGAAAACAGAGGAGGCCAAACAAATGAGGATTGAATCAGAGGATTTGAAATAATATTTATTTTTTCTCTTTAGGGAAGTGGTCAACAACTATCATGGATTTGAAATCTGAAGCACTGTTGTTGATTGTTCTTGGAAGCGACTATCATAGGATTTGAAGATGAAGCCATTAATTGTTTCTTCTCTGACAAGCCTTTTTCTGAAAAAATTTCCCTTGTCCGAAAAAATCTATGATTGAAAAGTTACAGATGCACATGAGTGATATATATATAGACAGAGGGAGGGAGAAGAGAAAAGATGAGAGATTTGTTCAGTTCCCTCTGTGTGTGTGTGTTTTTTTTTAAATCAGAAGCGTGAAGAAGATGAACAATTATTATATGTATGTGTCATGTGTGTAGACAGATGGAGCATAAGGGTGTGTTTGGGTGTAACAATTGGTGTTTCCGAAAGCAACTATCATAGGATTTGAAGCCGATTTCGTCAATTGTTTCTTCTCCGACGAACACTTTTTCTAAAAATTCTTCCATTGTCGGAACAATCTATAATTGAAAAATTACATAAGCATATGAGCGACACACATATATATATATATATCGACAGAGGGAGGGAGAGAGGAGAGGAGAGGAGAGATATGTTCAATGAGTCTTTTCTTTTTTCAATCATTCGACGTTGCAGAAGATCAACAGTAATTATATAACAAGGGTTTGTTTGGGGTGTTTGGGTTAAGGGGTATTAATGTCTTTTCATAGTTACAAGGGCATTGTGGTCATTAAAATTATAGTGTATGTCATGTGACTGTCACGTGGGGTAAGATCCGACGGGAATAATGACGGATCCGACCGGAACAGTGTCGGATGGGGTCATCTGCAACAAAAATGTGTAGTTCAGGGGGTTAGTTGCAATTTTAATAGTTCAGGGGGTTAATTGCTGATTCTCTAATAGTTTAGAGGGGTTTTTTGCATTTTACCCTAAACTTAATTAAGACACATGGTGTCACATTTCACAACTCCACACACACAATCAAGATGCAGAACTGTAAATCCAGAAGCAAAATATAGAACCAGCAGCAATTTAATTTCAATTATCACATTTTAATTACAAATAGTTCTTACTAATATTACAAAGGATCCTGAAAAATATATTCAGCTACAACTTTCCAAATAAATTTTGGAAAAAAATATTAGATACCTCCTCTCTTTCTGATTTAACTTGCAAGTAAACATAAACAGGTCAAAACAATCTGAACGCGCAGATTTAGTCCATGTTTTGTGACTACAAATCTTACCCGTCACCTATTGGCTGGCAGGAGAGGAGTGTGCTCTATCACTGCCCAGATCACTGTCTTCCACTTCACTCCCATCTAAAAAATGTGAATTATTGTTGACACTAGGCTCGGAACTGGCATTGCTGCTTGTGCCAAGAGGAGAGTCCAAAACACCAACTGTTGGACTTTTTGTGGACCCTGTTCTCACGTTGAACCTAGAAGAAGCTGGGATGTTCGTCTTTAGTGGGCGTAGATTACCTGGAATGCTTCGCCTTGGCCTTATATCCTGCTTGAAGAAAATACCTGAATGAATATATGAATCCAACAACTCCAGAAAATAAAGCACCCAGTTATAGCTATATACAGAACCAATAAAATCTAGGGCACATTGTACAATAAAATTGTGCCTAATCTAAATTTAAATTTCTCAAGGCGGTAATTAATTTTGCGTAATGCTAGACAGGGCAGCAAGCAATAAGGAAAAGCATACACACCATATGCCTCAAAGCCATGTCTAAAGATTCTTTGGAAAGTGTCCTTCCAAAACCAGAGCTGTCCTGAGATGATAGAGACTTCCCTATGGGGTAATTATGACCACAGAGGTGATCATCTTGCTTCGGTGGAGCTAGTTTCCTCATGTTCACTACTCTTTCAACCATCCTAGTTCCAATCAACCCAGGGCTCACATCGTCACTAGTACTGGAATGTGTTCGCCTCATTGAAGGCACGGAGCTGCCATTGTTATATGCATTACCATGTGGTGCTCGACCCTTGGAAGGAGAGCATGATTGCTGTCTCGTTCTTCCATTAGAGCTAGTCTCAATAGAAGAGGATTGAGTACTCGGTGCACCTGGTCTACCCCTGGAAGGTGAAGCAGGTATTTCAGGAATTGATGTCCTTAAATTCGAAGGAGCATCATGGGATAAACCAGGCATCTCAGAAGGTTTCCGTGGCCTAGATCTCACTGTTGGAGAAGTACCACGTGATGGTACCATATTTTTCATTGTTGCTTGACCTGACCTTGTCACGGAAGAAGACCTACTAGGAGGAGCAGATGTGCTAGGCGTGCTAGACGGAGTTGATGACCAACTGGTTGGTGTTGCTGATCTTGATATTGAATTGGAAGCTGATGTTACAGAGGCTTTGGCAATTGGAGTAGACAAACGCACAGTAGACCTTGTTGGAGTTGAAGATCGAACTGGACGAGCTGTGGTCTTAGTGGAAGACAACGTTGCTCGTAGAGTAGGCGTGGAGGATCTTGCAAGCTTTGATATCACGGGTAAAGTGGGTCGTCCGGTTGGTGTTGCTGGTCTAGAAGCAGTTAATGTCGATCCCACCAAAGACGGCCTTCTATTTCGAGCACCAGAAGAGCTTGACCTAGTAGACAAAGATGGATGCCAAGACATCATATTATTCCTTGAAGCAGGCTCTGCCAGCGGCTTTGCAAGCTGCAAAGTCAAGAAGTTTTACATGGCAACATGAGTTTGCTAACTGTGCAACAAGAGCAAGTAAAATGTTGCAAAATAGTTAAGCTGGGAAAAGAAATCTTTAAAAGATTATAACACCTGAAAAATACATTTGATAGCCATGAAAAACTTAGAAACCAAATTGTCAGATATTTGATGTTCATAATAGTAGAAGACCACAACTATAATCTAAATGAATCAATTCATAGCCACGTCCGATTGCACCAATTGACAAGACTAGTAAACAATACAAAACTAAATTTAAAATACAGTTCTTACCCTAGACTTCAGAGCAGTGGCCTGAGAATGAGAGATCCCAGTCTGATTTATTACAGTTTTCTGAGATTCTACTTCTGCCGAAGGGAAAAGTGGAGTTCCAGGTGGTGTAAGAAGCCTGGGTAGTGAGTACCAAGGTTTCCAATAAGCATCAAACCATAAGAAATTACTTCACCACACAACATCAATAAAAAACAATGTGAAACTGAAGTAAAGCAATGAGGATCACATCATATGCACATAACCAAGAATCGCAATGTATTAGCACATGAAAACAACATATTTGCTTGAAATGAAGTTCATTTACAAAAATGAATGTTCTGCATTTCACAGAGGAAATTGGATACCTGCATTCCACAACCTGGAAAAAAAAAAAATCATTCAACAATGTACATCTATAATTAAATTTGTTTTCAAATAGATTTGTCTCCGTCTACATTCTTTTGGAACTCACTGTAAGAATTCATGATGAGGAAAGCTTTGTTAAAATTTCTATGTAAAAGCAAAATTAAAATTAGTATTTTTAAAAATTATATTGGATTGGACGGCAAAGGATTCAAATTAAGAAAAAAAGAGTCTATGGTTATGGAGGAGTTGCTCAATATACTGGGGACACCTGTTCCAACCAAACAAAAAACTCCTTTTCAATTTTTAGCCAGGCAAACTAGAAATTTGACAACACACATTTAAATAAATAACTACCGATAGCTCCAAAACCAAATAGAACAACATGCTTCACATCAGATGTAATAAGTAGTGACATCCTGGTATATATTTTCAGATCACCCAGTATTAGTTAGATTAATTGATAAAGCCGAAAGCAATCTTGCAACAATCACAACCTAGACAAAGTGCTTTTCTTACTTTCCAGATTTGGAGGATAACCAGGGTACCAAACGCATGAATTGGTAAATGCAGAAAGTTTTATTGGCAGGAATAGCAACTTATAACAACCTAAATGTTATTGACATAACAGCATCAAGTGCATCTAATATATGAGTTCATCAAAGGGTTTAAGAAACTCTGGTTGCCATAATTTTTTTTTTTTTTTTTTTTTTTTTTTGACAAGTAAAAATCTAGTTGCTATTTAAGAGTGACAGAAAATACAAAGTTAATTTTCAAGCATCTAAAAAGATGTCAAGATCCCCACCACTTCGTCATTTTGGCAGGACTTCAAATTCTACCAAATGGCTGCCTTGTTGGTTTAACCAAATTTCCGATTTTATTTGGATTAGACCACCTAATCCATATTCTACCCTCTTTGATTATCAAAGAATATAATTTCCCCATAAACTCTTATATCCCACCCAGTTGAGGTCATTACACAATGATAAATTTATGCAAAACCATAGAAAAAGAAAAAATAATTGCAATGACAATTTCATCATTCAGCACCAAGCTAACAGAAATCAGCAATACCAATCATAATCTGTTTTGTTGTTCTCCGAGTTCAGAAAATCATCCAGCCGGTCCATTTTCACAGGCAATCTTAAGGGTATCTTAGTTATCTGAGACCTGTCTTGTTTTGATCCTGCACCCATATATGATGATTATTTTCATCAACCCATTATTGGAGACTCAAATTCAACACGTGACATAAAACATAGTCAATGAACCAATACCTAATTGATTGTCTAACTCATTGGAGTTCTGAAAAAGCAGGTCCTTCCGCTCCTTTTCGCTGTTCTGCATCTCAAGGAACAGAGCAAGATCATCATCGTTCTCCTTCATCACCATCCCATGGCCCCTTTCTTGTGGCCTATACTGTATGGAGGCCTGCATTTTGCAGTTCCTCAGTCTTATAATTGCTAATCATCACCAAATCTTAGTCACACAATAAAAAATTACATACCCATACATCTATGTATATAAATACATATATTCGTTTCTAATGCCGAAATTGGATTCTAAGCTCTCAGTTTTATACTGTAATTGTTTATCATTACTTCATTACCATGTCAAAGCCACGCAAACAAAACAGCATATGCACACATCTATATGTGTGTCTGTGTATGTCATCCGAACCTGAGAGTATAAGTTCTCAATTATTTTTCATCTGTATTTGAACAGTGCAATCAAGATTTCATAAGATCCGAATCAATGATCGCAAAGTAGGTTTATAAAACGAAGAACTTGAAACATTTGGTTTAATAGTGGCTAATAAAAAACACTCCTTTTCAAAACAAGTTATCCAACCCATTTTTGAAAGGAACTTAGACTGAAATTACTGATACTACTATGTCCATTCATAGGTAGTATACACATGTGTGTGTCTTATGTAATTTTTTTAAACAACCAGTAACGAAATCACCCCTTAAAACAAGTGATTCTTGACCGAAACTACAGCTATTACTATGCCCATTCGTATGAAGTATATATATGTGTGTGTTTTATGTGTGTAAATCACATGGGAATTTTTTTAAGGAGCTTACCGCCATTGTTGTGGAGAGTCGAGACAGATTGTACAGAGATGTTCTGAGCAGAAGTGGACAGCTATGAAGAGAAGGGTCAAGAAGAGCTAAAGTGAGATTTATGGGGGCGAGAATCGATCGAAAGGAGAGGCTTTATGAATCGAATAGTTGGTTTGATTTTCCGTATTCATGGACAAAGAAAGGTTTTTAAATGTGTTTTTTCAAAACGAAGAAGAAAACAGAACGGAGCACTTTTTAATCATTATAAAATTATAAAACAAATAAGTACAACTTTTAAGGATAATCACCGAGGTGCAACTTTTTTATAAACAAGGACCCACAGTTATAATTATGAATATTGTTGCTAGTTGAAACTTGTTAATTTGAGTTACTTCTGTAAACTACCTCCATTCGCTTGGTAAACAGACAATTAAAAAAGAACGGAGGAAGTATTTATAAATAATATAACAAAAATAACTCTAAACTATCCAAAAACGTCTTCTCTTTCATACATTCTCTCCAATTCGAAATACATAAAACATATATACTATATATAATTATGGTACATTATATAAACATATATACCATTTTAATTATTGGAAGAAAGAGATTAATTAGAAGTAATTCCAGGAAATTTTGAAACTTCAACCAAATATATAAAAGGTATATATCGTAAATAATTATGCTACACAATATAAACATATATACAATCTCAAATATTGTAAAGAAGAGATCAATTACAAGTCTAACTCAATAATTCTAATTCTGAAAAACTTTGGGAGGTTAATTTATAGCGTCCACAATATGTACACTAGGTGATAAATCGAACATTTACAAAAAGATAAGCAATTCCAAAATTTCATAGTTTTGCTATTAATTCCATATTTTTTAAAAAAGAAATTCAACTCAACTTTTGCTCATATGGGTTCAATCAGCATACAAACCGTGGCAAATAATCCACTTGTGCTCTCTGTAACTCAGCCATATGTTTATTCTTCTAGTTGAAAACTTAATTCTAACATTTTTATAATTATTCGCCTGGATCGAGCTTCATTTGTTTAATTTTCTTATTGTTCTTATTTATTTATGTACTACTGTAGAGAATGAATGAGAATTTATAACATTGTTCTCCATTTTATTGTGATTGGTGAATCAAAATTTCACAAAAAGATGAGAAATTTGTTTTAACTAGTTTTGATGTTAATGTTAATATATATGACCTTTGATAATTCTGTTGGAGTAAAAAATGAAGCATTCAGAGATAAAAGAAAGAGGGGGAGGAGACGTTGGGTAGTAAAAGATTATTCTTGTCATTTTTTTTAATAAATATATATTTAATATTCGTTTATCAAAAGGATTCCACTAGATTGCTTCATTTTGTGCACTCAAGAGTTAATTCTTCACATGTGACTCATTCAATAAATGTGTAAAAAAATTGTATGAACACAAATGATAATAAAAATGAGTTCTTTATAAATAGGTCAAAATCAGACATTACTTAATGATTTAATTAATACAAATATATTTGTACTGAAGTTCCTTCTACTTGGGTTGCCCCAAAAAAAAAAAAAAAAAAAAAGGTTCAAATCGTTTCCTTAATATAGTGGATTTGAGTGGACCAAATCATTAGTCACCATTCACAAGTCATAAGAAAAATTTGTTCAATGAAATATTAAGAAAATATTAGTCGAGTTTGGGTCATTTGATGATCAAATGAAACAAATTAAACAATAAATAGATGCGAAGGAGGGGGCAGTTTTGAAATGGTAATTAAATTCTGAAAATTGTCACCATCATCTTAAGTTAAAAGTTAATTTAAAAATCAGGATAAAAAGAAGATATGCACGTGATTAAACCTTGACCAAGGGACCAAAAGAAGCAGATAATTCAAACTCGGGCTTCCAAAAGATGCCTAGACTTATCGTGGGGTTAACAGATCCCTCGGGATGGTACCCGTTCTTTATCTGACGGTCACTATCGAACGAGAGATACTTTGTGGGACTTCTCGTCTTGGGCCTCGTGAATCGTGTGGTTTTAAATTGCCGTTGGGGCCCACATTTATTTGCCCATAACAGAGTACGGACAAACCTACCTACTACTCCTCATATTAAAAGCGGCGTCCTCTCCCCCAAACGGAATTCAAAAAAATTCAATACAACAGTTGAGCAATAAGTAACATTTATTTACCTTCCAAATAAAATTCAAATAAATAGATATATTTTTATTTATATATGTCAAGAAATAATTAATATACCATGTGACATAATTTCACCATATTCAATAGAGTATTGTTATTTACTAGTATTATTGAAAAAAATAAAAATATTCATTGACAAAATTACTACATAATAGCTGATATTGAAATTTTTTCCTAACCCACAAAGGGATTTAGAGTGATTAAAATAATAAAATGTATTTATCTTTTTTCCTTTTTCATAAGAGCATAACAATCATATGTTTTATGATCCAATAAATTATGTACGATTTTAAAATATCTGGCACTACTCCTTTTCCATTTTCCTTTTCAAGAAAAAGAAATAGGCGACATAATATGAGATTTATATACTACAAAAACTTCCAAGTGAAAGATTAGAAGGATACAAAAGGGTCATTATGTGTTCTGTTCAGAAATTATGTGAAATGAAAAAGAAAAAAGGAAATGGAGAGTAATTAAAAAATCACTATGCTCTCAACAGTGACAACATTTTAACAGAGAGTTAGTAAAGCAGTTCCTAAAATTAGCAACAGGAGTTAGCAACTTAGTAATCACACACATTTTATAAATTGTCCACTTCGGGACTCAAACCCTCCCCACCTCCTCTTCGAGGGAGGAGAGGTTTTACCATTAGACTAACGGCATTGGAGAAGAAAGCTATTCTAATCAAGTTAAATGCAGCAGTATGGACCTGAATCACATTCAGCATTGCAAATATTTGTATAGATGATAAAACTCTCCCCCACATCATATGTGCATGCTATTCAACTAAATTTCATCACCAAAATCCATCAATTTGGAAGATGACGGATCATTCTAAAAAGTTCTGCAAAACTGGTCTTCAGTTGCAACTATACCAAAATAAGATCAAAACAAGCAGGGTTGAACCAGATCAGGGAGATGAACAGAATGTACAGTTAAAAACAGTTGACCAATTTGTAAACCGAATGATCCTCCCCCGAAAATCAAGCATCATCACCATCACTTCCACCCATCTGAGCTTCCTGACTTACTATGTAATTACTTCCATCAGGACCCAACACTTTGAACCTGCTCCCAAGTAAAAATAAATAAATAGGGGGAGATTACATACCCAAACACTTTCACAAATTAGAATCAACGCCATAAACAGTATTTGATTACCTCTCAAGGATAAATTTTCCTTCCTTGTACTTTTGACTCTTCTCATGTGCAGCTTCCTGAAGTTAACACACAGATATGAAAACACTCCAAAATAACTAGCAGCAACAATGCAAGAAGAAATGAAAGCCAATTACGTTGGTAAAACAAGATCCTTACATATTTCCACCCCACAATGGAACCGCATGCCACGCAGAATATGTCAACAACGGTATGCAATCCAGTCATCATCATCCGCTCTTCTTTCTCACCAGCAGTGACATTCACACTGTCATGTACATAGAGGGAGAAGACGTTATTTGGAGCACACGTGTTCTAAGTACAACTGATATGATTATGAAGAGCCTGCCAAGTACCAGGCAGTGAGGTTGTCCACAGGAAGAACAGCACAAGAGAAGCATTCATGTAATGGACTATCATAATGGTTACTAACTTACTATATCACCACGGGAAAGTAGCTCACTTACCTGGGAAATCTAATCATTTGCTAGAAAGAATCATTTTGCTTCGTGAATTTCCTAGATCGGCAACTTTATCAGTTTCTACATATTATTGGAATTGACAGAAGGAAAAGACGCAACTGTATGAGTAATATGTTTGAGGATACTACAGATATTCTCACTGATGAGCATTTTGTGATATTCTCACTGATGAGCATCAAAATGCTCATCTGAAATATCAGCAAATACTTTGGTGCCTGTTATTCCAGTATAGCCAGTTGTTTTACATGGAAACCTAACTGCTTCGAGTTGGCATTCACACAGACAACAAGCAGATGCAAAAATATCCATACATAAATGCAAAGTTGGACACATGCATGCATCATTTGACTTCAACCATGCCAATCATCAGACATCTATTTCCAGTAAAATAGTAAAAAAATACAAGTAACCATAAATCTAGTAGATGATACTAATTTCAGCAAGCACAAAAAATCGGAGAATACTTACACTTTATCGAAGAGATAAGCCTTCCCATGCCTGCAGTGGAAGGACTGGAAACACAAGCAAAAACATTGGATTAGGAATGAGTCGTATAACATATGCCTATCAATCCGTACAAAGTCCTTATTGCAGGCATAAATAAGACAAGGTATAAAGGGTAATCTAGATATGCCCCCGAGTTTCTGAAACAGCTAGGACAGGAAGAATTTGATATTCTAAATCATAGTAATGAGGAAGAACTTAATTCATAGGAGCATATAAATTGATCTCCAATCAAGAAGGCCACAAGCAAGCGACTAATACAATTCTTCACTATGCAAAAATACTCATATGGCAACTATGCATTTTAAGACAATACTTACTAAGGCAAAAGGAATTTAACCTCTAGAGCTGTCAGAGAAAAAGAGCCAGAGGCATGAACATGAAAGGTTTTTAACCTCAGAATCAGAGAGAAAATGAGCTACTGAAGGCGTTAATTGAAATCATCATAATGCGAGTGTTACTTAACCTAGAGAAAATGGACAGCATAAGACAAGGACAGCAGTGCTATACTATATTAAACAAAAATCATGTCTAGTTTCCTGAAGAATCCAGATGGCAAAGTACAACTACAAGACCATGTCATAAAAAACAATTTAAAAAATTCTCCTTGTACAACAGGAAGTTCCTTATAAAGTCATTGAAAAAAAAAGATTATCTGTTTTCTGAATATTGATTTAAGTATGTCTTCAAGATCACCATCATTTCTAACCCTTTTAAAGATGTGTGCTCTGTAATGGATCATACTTTGTCCTATTAATCATCTTGATTTATTGACCCACAACAATCAAACTGCTAAAAAGGGTCAGGTACATATAACTGGATCACTAACTTAACTCAGCAAAGCCTTGTCCAACTACTTGGTGTCGGCTACAGGAATCATATTTTTTCATTCTATTTAAGATCTCTATCTAAGCCTTAAAGATCATAGCCTCCTATTAAGCCACATGTTATGATAAATTTCCTTACTAACTCTACCCACATTAATTTCAATCTTTCCATTCTCCTTACATTACCCTCAATGTGGACTATGTCATTCATTGTAACTGATGCACCTAGCAGCAGGGACGGACCTATGACATGGTCAGTGGGGGCAGCTTGCATTTCTCATCGCGTCGTCCCTGGCTTAGGATGGGATTCTACGAGGATGAATCCAGTGGGAATGAAAGTCTATCTCTGTCTCAAAGAATTAAGAAAAGTTTCTCTGCTTAACACCCGACCAAGCTAATTCAACCAGTGGTGGATTTGAAATCAGGAATAAGAAAGTGGACCAAGAAACCGGAGCCCAATAGAGCTCAGAGTGTGAAGAGCTGCGGCTCGCTCTGAGCCTGTCCCCGCCCGCCCCCACTGACATTCTCTTTATTTATATTAGGTATCTAAAATTTTGCTACAATTCTAATAATGCTTCTACTAAATTTTTGGAAGAACACTCTATACATACTAGTCACCCTCACTAGAATTTTCTTTATTTATATAACATAACCTAAAAAAATTTCTAATATATTACTTGATAATAATCGAAATGGAAGTATTTGCCTTAAAAAATAATTGAAATGGAAGTATAAGCAATTTTTAATTTGAAAAATCAATTAATGTTAAAAGTATTTTGTTTGTTATGGTAGTTTGATTTTTTATCTTATTGTGTTCAGGGCCGCCCCCTCTCAAATTTTTCCTGAGTCCATCACTTCCTACTGATCTTATTTGTAACATGTCCCAAACATCTTAATCGATATTCTCCCATTTTATCTCCAATGGTTGCTACTTCAACCATCTCACGAATGCATTCATTTCTAATTTTATCGTTTCTTGTCTTGTCGCACATCCATTTCAACATTCGTATTTATGCGACACTAACTTTATGCATGCATTGTTTCTTAGCTGTACCATAGAGAATAGCTAGTATAATAGTTGTTCTATAGAATTTTTCTTTTAGTCTTAGAGGGATACACCAATTAAACAGTATTCCCGACGCACTCATCCTGCCTTGATTTTGTGATTAATATCATCTTCAAGTTAACCTTAATTCCGAATAATGGAAACTAAATAGCGAAAATATTCACTTTTTGGTATATCTGGATCGTGATCTTCAATATATTTCTATTGTATATCTAAACTTATTAAGGTTAAATTCTATATATCCAATTTTGTTCCTGTCCATCTTAAATCCTTTTAAGTCTAATGCTTCCCTCTAAATCTTAAATTTATTATTGATCCCAATTCTAGTTTTCTCGATTAAAATAATATCATAGAATATAAAACACCATTAAATCTCGTCTTAAGCGTGTCTCGTCAATGCATTCATAACAAAAACAAAACGATACAGGCTTAATGTTGACCTTTGATGTAAGCCTACAATAATTCAAAATTCATTTGTAACACCCACATTTGTTCATTCCATCATACATGTCAATATATCCTCTTGCAACTCCCTTATAGCTAGAATAATAGTTGTTCTATAGAATTTTTCTTTTAATCTGAGAGGGATACAGCGATTAAACAGTATTCCCGACGCACTCATCCTGCCTTGATTTTGTGATTAATATCATCTTCAAGTTAACCTTAATTCCGAATAATGGAAACTAAATGGCGAAAATATTCATTTTTTGGTATATCTGGATCATGATCTTCACTATATTTCTATTGTATATCTAAACTTATTAAGGTTAAATTCTATATATCCAAATTTGTTCCTATCTATCTTAAATCCTTTTAATTCTAAAGCTTCCCTCCAAATCTTAAATTTATTATTGATCCCAATTCTAGTTTTCTCGATTAAAATAATATCATAGAAGATAAAACACCATTAAATCTCATCTTAAGCGTGTCTCGTCAATTCATTCATAACAAAAGCAAAAGGATACAGGCTTAATGTTGACCTTTGACGTAAGCCTACAATAATTCGAAATTCATTTGTTTCACCCACATTTGTTCATTCCATCATACATGTCCTTTACCATGTCAATATATCCTCTTGCGACTCCCTTATTTTCTAAAACCTCTCGTATCAGATGTCTAGGTAACATATAATAGGCTTTCTCAAGATATTTCTTCCCCTTTTTATATAATTCCATTAGCCTACTTATTAAATAAATAACCTCCATCGTTGACCTCCTTAAACAATATGAGAATATGAATATGTTGACCTCCCTGGAGATAAACCAAAACTGATTCTATGACTCTCAGTTTCTTAGTCATTGTTCAATCACTCTTTCCCCAAGTTTCATAGTGTAAATATTAACAGTATAATTACTAGAGTAACAAAAATGGTCGTAAGAGGCAAAAGCTAGATTTATTTGCATAGAAGACAAGAGACAGAGAGGCCAACCAATACTCATGTGGGATGAAGAAATTAGAAATGTTTTTAAAAAATTAAATATAATAGGATACATGGCTTGTAATATTTAGGAATGAAAAAAAGAGAATTCATGTGGCCAACCCCACTCATATAGGATAAATGCAAAGAGGATGATGATGGTGTGTTGCAAACCATCAACCATAGTAATATATATATATATATGCCCAAGACTTCAGTTGATTACGAAGGGGATCCTTCTTGGGGTCTTGTGGTGGGGACATGTGAAAAACAGATGAGTGATTTAATATTTAACGTAACATTTATGAGGGTTCCGTGCACTCCAAGATGCCCAAAATAGTTGGCAGTAACCTGACTTGATTTTGGAGGCAAAAATTGCACAACCAAAATTATGGAAAACATACTGTAAATTCAAATAGATCTCAATTGATTCTTAAGCAAATGACATTTAGATGTTTGACAGTAAAGCCAGTAAAAACACATTGTACATTAGGAAAGAGCAGAAGAATCTAACTGAGAGATTTTAATATTTTCAGTTGCAAAATAAATATAATAATCATCGGCACATCTAATGTTATCTTGCAAATAAGAAAATGAAATATTTAATTAGATTAGGATTTGGTATTCACCTCATTTAAATTAATGTCTTTAGATTGCACTTATTAATGAAACTAAAAGATGATCATATTATTATCTGTATATTTACCTAATCTATGAATAAGTTTATTCCCTAGAGATGACAAATATATATTAATAGGGAAACGACAAAGTGTCAAGGTTATGTATTCTCTATCCCCAAGCGGGTGGTAAAGGGAGGGCCGCAATTGGTAGAAGAAACCCACAACCCCTTGGGGTTATCCTGCACTTGGAGGAAGAAGTAGATCATCTCAAGGTCATAATTCTTCAGGCCAGGGGAGAAGATTCAAGCAATAAATTAATGATACCAAACCTTCAAAGTTCAAACTAAACAAAGAAATTTCCATAACATTAAACAACTTTTATTATTTCTCTACCAAAAACTTGTGTTCTCAAATAATATATGTCCATATGCACAACAGTTAAAAACAACCACAATTAAATAATAAAAAAAAGGCTAGCCCACTGCACGGGTGTGTAGAAAGTTAAATGTACGCAGCCTTGCCAAGAAATCAATTTAAGGGGCAATGCAGAGCTGCCTGGGGTAAATTTTAGTCAAACTCAATATATTTCAAATAAGAACAGTTAGCACGCAATTTTCTATGGAAAGGTACACAAACAAAAGAGAAGTCCTTAATTCTTCATATCTTACGAGATTAAATTTGTCCATCAACTCAAAAGCTGCAGTATACCAACTTGGGAAAATATAAAAATCCAATGAACAGCATTTTATCAGTAATCATACAAATCAACAGAGCTATAAACCACAGCAGGTTAAATAGATCAAAATTCACACAGAGAGAGATAGAGAGGGAGGGATAACCTTAGAAATGACGTCGTCTGTGAGAGCGAGATGGGTCTTGCAGTGTTTGCAGCTATATACATCCCCTTCAAGAGTGATCACGAAAAGCCTACCCATTTCTATCTATCTTGGCTACAAAGATTCAATGGACTAAACCAATACAATCCAAATTTCCCTTCAAAACCACAAAATCGATCTCCTCATCAGAGATATATAATTAATATATTTACACACACAGAGACTACAAGTAGATGAACAAGAAAATGTCCAATCAAGAAAAAAAACGCGAATCAATGAACGATACAGTACAATGCACATCTACGTTTGCATAAATAACAAGATATACAAAAATCAAGACGAACCCATTTCGTTTCCTAATGAAGCACTAACAACTATCAAAATAGAAATAAACCCATTTATTCCATGCCTAATAATTTTTTTTATCGACCTCACCGACACAATCACACTTTCCCTTCAAACCCACAAATCGATATCTTCATCTTATATACACATATATATTTATATAATATGAATGGACGTGGAAAGTTATAAAGATTTAATCAAGCAAAAACATGAACCGATGAACGATACAATACAAATGTACATCTACATGTTACAAGAGAGATTACAAAACCAAATGAGAGACCCAAAAGATGAAAACCCAGTTGATTGATGATCTTACCTTACCAGCAGTTAGACAGACAGAGCACAGAAAGCAAGAATCATATCATACCAGAGTTGTTGTTATACATGTATACCTATATATGCGTAGGCAGAATTCTTTTTGTTTTTTAATTTTTTATATTATTTTACTCCATTTTATATGATTTTATTTATCCAAAAAGGTTTAAAAGAGACAATGGCCCATCTTAATCTAGAACTCTTATTTATTGTATTTTTTTACATACAAAGGATTTTTATTAAATACCAACTTTTAATTTTTTATAATTATTTTATTTTATACTGTTTTTTATTCTGAAATTTAAAGCAAACACACGTTCCTTACGTGTCCCACTAAGGTTTGGGTGAAGAAATTATACCAACTAAAACTCTTAATATTCAATTCTATTCTATAACTTATATTATTATTATTATTATTCTTAGTTAACTTATATTATATTTTAAATAAGATATAAAAAAGAAAAAAATCAAATTAAATACGAACTGTTTTTTTTTTTTTTTTTTTGACTAAAAAATGTCACATTGGCCTAGTTTTTCTCTCATGACTTCAAAATATGCAAATATCAAATTGATTTTGGATATTTTCTAATTTATACTAAATATATCATTGGAGAAATATCATCAATTATCTAGTATTTTTATTTGTTTTTAACAGGATTGCATAATTATTTAAAAAGAGTTCAAAGTACAATAAGTGGCGAAGGCAGCATGTGCCTGGGGGGTGCCCCTGCCCATGCTGCCCCACTATAATTTTTTTTTATTTTTTATATACATATATTTGTAAAAATTGATAAAATATCCCGCCTGAAATTATTAAAATGATCCATTTGTCTCTGAATTTACTATATTTTATTTTATTTTTTGCGTATAATTTGTAAATATTTATAAAACACCTTCATAAAATTTATAAATTATCTCCATAAAATTATCTATTTCTAAAAACGTTTTTAATTCTTTATTCATTTTCCTTTTTAATCTTCACATTTCTTTTTGTCATCTTCAAAAACTTTTGCATTCTCTTTCTACAATTAAAATTTATTTTTTCCTTCAAAATTCACTCATATTTTTTTCTTTTTATTTCATTTTCTTCTTAAAAAATTCATTTTTCTTCTTAAAATTTTATTTTTTCTTGCACTCATGCATAATTTATGTGCAATAACCTTCTTCTTTTTTTTCTTTTTTATCTTCTTATTCATTTTTTATTCACTTATTCTAATGCACTATTGTAACATTATTATATTTTCAGCTTGCTTGAAAAAAATTTATTTTGTTAGTATTAACATGCCCCTTCTGAATTAAATTCCTGGCTCCGCCCCTGGGTACAATGGATGACCTCTTCGATCTTAGAGTCTGTTGAAACACCGTTGACAAAGTTCTTAATTTACAAGGTTGATAATAGAAAATTGAAATTGTAAAATATCATAATAACCTAGTTTTTCTCTCATTTATGACTTCAAAATATGCAAAATAAAATTAATTTAGGAGTTTTTTTTTTATAAAATTTATACTCAATATATAAAGAACATTGTAGAAACATCATTAGTTATCAAGTTCTTTAATTTTATTTTATTTTTAACAGGCTTTCATCACTATTAAAAAAGAATTTAAAGACCGATGGATGTTCTTTTCTTACACCTTGTTAAAACACTATTGATAAATATAAATATATTGGTGTTAGTTAACTATTTTTTTTATTATTTTAATAATTTATACTCAATATATAAAGAGCATTGTAGAAACATCATTGGTTACCTAGTACTTTAATTTTATTTTATTTTATTTTTAACAGGCTTTCATCATTATTAAAAAATAGTTCAAAGAACAATAGATGATCTCTTCTTACACTTTGTTGAAACACTATTGATAAATATAAATATATTGGTGTTAGTTAACTTATTTTATTTTTTATTTTTTAATAATTGATATTCAATATATAAAGAACATTGTATAAACATCATTGGTTATCTAGTACTTTAATTTTACTTTATTTCTAACAGGCTTGCATCACTATTGAAAAAGAGTTCAAAGAACTATGGATGATCTCTTCTTACACTTTGTTGTAACACTATTTGATAAATATAAATATATTGGTGTTAGTTAACTTATTTTATTTATTTATTTTTAATAAGTTATACTCGATATATACAGAACATTGTAGAAACATCATTGGTTATCAAGTACTTTAATTTTATTTTATTTTTAACCGGCTTTCATCACTATTAAAAAAGAGTTCAAAGAAAGATGGATAATCTCTTCTTACACTTTGTTGGAACACTATTGACAAAGATCTTAATTCTCAAAGTTGATAATAGAAAATTGACACCAACTTTTCAAAGTAAAAGATCTCTGATTCAGCAAAAGTAAATGTTTTTCATAAAATAAAATAAATTTATAATAACAGAAAACTTACGAGACATTAAAACCATTTTGTATTGGTTGCAATTATTTTCGAGGGTGCAAATACTTTTTGATAGTTTAAAAGATCTTGTGAAATTAATTTCAATCCAATTTAATAATTATGAAGACACATTTAATGAACGATTAATCAGTTGGACTTATTGTAAACTTTTAATAGTTTGGGTGAGTTCATTGTATGATGTGCAAATTATTATTATTTTTAGTTATGGGTTCAGCGCAATTACCCCATTAGATTATGATCGAGACTTTTTGTTCCTTGCATTATCTAAAATTGATAGTGCAATAATTTTAACTTTTAAATCAATAATATAATAATTATGCAAAAATGTTAAAATTTTAATTAAATAGTAATGTAGAGCGTTGTAACTTGATTTCATAGTGTACTAAAAATATCATATAAAAACTAATCCAATGTGGCAAATTAATTAAAGTTTGAAGCCTATAATCTCAAACCTCAATTTATGGCATCAAATGTTCACCAAAAATGATAAACAAGAAATATATTATAAGGTTTTTATTGATGAATAAATTATTTTTATTAAGTTTTAATTTTTATTTTTCTTCGTAAATATTATACAACAATCAAACGCCCAAAAATACAAAAAAAATGTTTCACTCTTAAACAAACGAGCATAAATCGCATCATAGCACTGCTATCATGAAAACTTCGAACACTATTTTCAGGTAAGAGAACAATTAAATGTTTTATATACCCATTCCATTTGATGGTTTTAGTTTTTGGTTACAAATCATGTTTGAAAATCGAGAGGTTTAAATAATGCCAAAATTAACAAGACAAAAGCCAAAAAAGACCATCTCGCCAGAATCTCAATGTAAATGCTCTACAAGTACCAATGGCAAATATTAAATGTGGAAGAAATTGTAATCTTTTTAACAAGGAACAGCATCTCTTGTGTGAACTGAAAATTATGGAGAGCCAAAATGTTGACTTGATCAAAAAATACAGCCTCAGCAAATGCGCGCAATGAATATGTTTGGCAGCATGGAATACCTGCCTTGGAATTGGAATACGAAGGAAACTAATTTTCAGTTTTACGAAATATAAATTCCGGTTCGAATTCCAAATGCATGAATTCCATACTGCCAACAACAGCCTATGTAATTTTTCCCATTTTTTGCACAGCCTGAACAAAAAGGAACCTGCCATTGAAATACAATTTATAAGTGAAGTCTATCTTGGGGAATCCTTCTTTCAACTTTACCAGCTCTCTGAGGCGGCCAGACGACGTGGGTAACCCTTCCGCGAACCAAACCTAGAGGAATCTGCCAAGTCATGTTTTTTTCGGTTAAAGATCTGCCAAGTCATGTTCATGTCAAGAAAATTCTCTGATTAGTAAAAAAGGCAAAATGCCTGCCAATCTGCTTGGTATTGTTTTAATTTTCTTTTCTGATTTTTGTTTTTTGTTTTACAATCATTGAAATCATGGATGTTTTGAAAAACCAACCTTTTCAGATCATTTCCATTTCTTAGTAGACTCAAGTTTTAAAAACAAAAACTATTTTAATTAGTATCTTGAGAATGGGAATTTTTTCCTTAGGCGTTTTCATTTTTTCTGTTCTCAAGAACAAGGAACAATTTTCAGAAATGAAACTAGACAAGTTAATTTTTCACCATCGACACAGATTACAATTTAATCTAACAAAAATGAGTAAACCATACAAGTAGGCCTATTTCTGTTATGAAAAGACTCAATCTAGTAAAATATATGATTGTAATTTATAATAAAAACTTTTTTTTCCCGGTAAGTAATTATGATTTATAATAAATACTTGTGTGTATATTTCGTACAAAACGTGATAATGATGCTGGTTATGTGCACATAATCAGCATACAAAACATGTCGATTTTCAATGGCTTCAGTAATGCTGGTTATGTGCAGCTACTACCGGTTTTAAGTTCCAGTTAACACCAAAAATTTTTAAAAACATATTATCCACAATTCTATACTTCCTTTAACCATCATTATATACTTAGCATTTTCATATTCTATATGCAAATTCTACTACCACCAATACCATCCTATACTTTTTAGAAGTATGACTCATTAATTTGTAAATAAGCATTTATACAAAATACTTGCTCTACTATCACTAAACTTAAAAGAGACACTTGTTCAAAGAACACAAGAATAGAGTTAAGGATAACATACTGGGCCAAAGGATCTTGAATCCAAGCTGAAAGCTGAATGATCTCCTTCCACCCAACAATGTCCTTCAGGAATCCTTATCACATCATGTGAACTAGGAGATTTCATCCAATCACCTGGCAAGGCAGTTATTCTCTTTACCTGTTTTTCCCGCCAATTACTCGGAGAACTGCAAGATGGACTGTCATTTAATATTTGGCACACTAACATCTTTTTCTAAATATGTAAGAAATTAAAAACCAAAACCTCTTTATGTTAAAGAGGCATTCATGTACAAAATCTGTTCTGAAAGAGAAAGCAGTGTGCTCCAGGTTGCAAATATGTATTGTGAAGAGCATATATGTCAATCCATAATAAAAGCATTTAAAGCTTGATAATTATTATCCATAGATAGAAAAGCATAGGGTTAAGTGCTTCATAAGGGTACAAATGAACCGAGCTGCTTAGCTAGGCTCAGCACAATAGCAAGCTCCTTCGTTCAGTCATCAAATAAGCCTAACTGAGCCCCAGTTTAAGGCTAGTTTCCTCAACCAACCAATGAACCAAACTCAATCAAGCCCTGACATGGATTGGCTAGGCTCATAAAACACTACTGCATAATAATCAAATTAGAGTATAACTGTTAAATTTGGATGCGGAAATAAGAAATGCAAATAGGATAAGGGAAGAGAGAAAGATGGAGAACACAGGCATATACATGGTTCGGCACTAAGGCCTACATCCATGGACAAAGAGCCACTAAGGGCTACATTTCTATTATTTAGATATTTTTGCTTGAGTAAAAAGAGCCTATATATAGGCACGGTAAAGAAAAGAAAATATGGAAGGTGTATAATAGTCAAAGGAGACACCGTGATTGGTGGAGGATTTTGCTCCACCGTTATATAGAAATATTTATAGTTGGAAGGAAATTGACCGGATCATGGTGGAGGATTTTGCGCCACAACTATATAAAAATATTTATATATTTCAACAATAACTTATCATAACTAAGCTCATAATAAAGTCTGAACTTAATCTCACTCAAGCTTAATGTTCATTACAGCTTAAGCTTTATTCTTATTTGATAATCAAGTCATTCATGTCCACACTAACCAAGCTCAAGTTTGTTTTTAGTGATTGACAGAAAAATTTCAAATATGTCCTCTTGAGTTCCATTTGAGCTAACATTCTTACTTAAAAATTGATGAATCACATTAAGCTGAGCTAGATCTTCTTCAGTAACTGAAAGGCCAAGCTTGTTTGAACAAGGCTAAAGGTCAAGTTAAAGTCTTATCAGGCACGGATAGGGACATGGGATACAGGTTCTATACGATACGGATGTGACAATAAAACAAATCTTAAAAAATAGGACAAGGACACAACAAAGATACAGTAATAAAATAATCCAATATATTATTATATATGCGGAAGTTGGAACCCCTTTTTTTAAAGAGAAATTATTGCAGAACTACCTCACCATCACTTGAAAGTGTCTTTAACATGTCCCCGCCGTATTCCTGCTACCATGTCACTCCCCCCCGCCCGCCCCCCCCCCCCCCCCCCCAAAAAAAAAAAAAAAAAGAAGAAGTCAACTCCAAGTAGCCATGTCCAGCAAGTGTCCGGCCATGTCCCATGCAACGCTACAACGACACTCCCAAAAGAGTATTTGTGCTTTCTAGGGTAAAGCTCAGACACAACCAGCAAAGCTCGAGTATCTAAACTAATTTGCACCCATATGCTTGTCCCAGCCCCAACTAAGGAAGAAATTCTCTTTTTAAGACACTGTAGTTATATTTATTAAACTTGCATTGCAGACAACCAAGATATTTACTCTATATGACACGGAATGTCTATGGTACAAGCATACAAAATATTCAGTTGTATAGTCTGAAAGCTGATGCTTATCAAAGCATCAGGAAGAAAATATACCAGAAAATGATCACGTCTCCATGTGAAAATTTGTACTTTTCAAGGCAAAATTTCTCCACCAAAACACGGTCATCTGCAGCCAAAAAATACGTGCAAGGTACTTCACCATTGAGTCAACATTTTCTCAAGTCAATAATCCCAGAAAAGTAATTGTTACCCATAAAACTGCCGGTCTGGGGATTGAATGTTGGAGACATGGAGTGGCCCCGAACAGGAAGAATACTGGCATAACGATCGGAAATAGTAAGTGTTATGAGCCCAACTGTGAAACATTTTTTAGCAGTACTCCACAGAAAACTCCGGGTTCCCATATCCGTATTTTCAAAAGGCGATGTATGTCAGACAATAAATGAATCCATCTGCAAAAACAATGTTGACAAAAGAAATTACAAAGATTAGTTTTTGCAGTTAGGGGAGCAAACGAGCTAAGCTGAGCTGGATAGGAGCCTGTTGAGCTTGGCTTTATTATATGCAGCAAGAGTGTTTGAGCTCAGCTAGAGCTCAAGTCAAGATCCAACATCACTGTTTGGGTTCCGTTTGTCTACGGTTGAAGAAGTTTGAACTCAGCTCAATTAGCTCATTTAATTAAGGCAGGCGAGCTCAAGCTCGAGATTAAGATTTTTAATAATCTAAATCCTTACAAACTCTCTCCCAATTCCTATGTAAACCATGAGTTAGATAATGTAATCCTCAGTGCAGTAGCCTGGGAATAAATTAAAATAATTTATTTTTCTATTCAAATCATGAAAACCCTAAAACGAAAATTAGGACCAAGATGGAATTTGAAGGGAAAAAATTCTAACAAATTGAGGTAGAACATCCATCCAGGTAAATGGCATTTACAAGACTGAAACTATTTTCAGCAAATTCATCATAATAAATGGTACCTAAGGAGAAAAGAAATGGAATGAAATGCAAAACCTTGACAATTGATTAATTAACAAATTAAAAAGATTAATCAATCACATTATATTTACATACCCAACACATGATAAACAATAATTAATTAACACCACAAAAATAGTTATTTCCTTTATTGACACAAATTATACAAAACAAATTAAGGCAAACAATAATATATACATATGTTTTCACAGTGACAAAACCAAATCCAGCTGAATCTTTGGTGTGAATATGTGTTTAGATGACACTCAATAATCTGAAAACAAAACCGATATTTGCCATTAATCTCTAAAAAAGAACTAAAAATAACCACGAGTTTGCAAATTTTGTCGAGAATATTTAAGTTTGTTTCAGTTTGAAGCTCTAAAGGGATTCATATCCGAACAAAGTAAAACAGACAAAATCAGATAATTCTTAGTGAAATTGCACTACCTACAATGATAAATACCAAAACCATTTGCAAAGGATTCAAATCCAATTATAAAATTTCAGTCTCAACTTTGGATATAATTTTTTCACTGGAAAAACTTTGAATGTAGATTTGAAATAAAAAAGAAAAACCCAGTTTGTAACAATAATTACAATACAAAAGTTGAACTAAATTTTGTGAATGATATGGTTTCCAGTTCAAGCAAAATTACTTTAATACCAACTTCAAATAAATCTAAACTTTAATTAAAAGAAAAAATTGAACCAATTACAACAAAGTGCAATACAACAATAACTCAACTAAATTTCTTGAATCAACAACAAACACAATCTTGATATAATTCAATAAAGAGACTAAGACCAAAAGCTAAAACTAAACTTCAATTTCAAAGATCGAATCAAAAACCCAAACCACATGAGCATGAACAAACGCCAAATCCATTTTCATTTCCCCACATTTTCAGTAAGATCGTCATTAATTGACACGCACTGCTCGTAATACAAAAAATTTCAAACCCAAATGTCCATTAAATGTAAGCTAGAGTAATATAAAACAGGGAGTTGAAGTGAAGCTTGCTGAGAATGGAGTTATACAGAGAATGTTAGTGCATCAAAACAAACATGATCCATCCTCTGTCTATCTACCTATATATAATATTTATAGATCATAGATAAACACGGTGAAAGAGAGGGCTTACCGGTGGATTCTGAAAGGCAATTTTCCAGATTGGTCCAGGAGGGGACGCAAAGAAGGGGTTAGGGTTTTTACTCTGAGAGAGGGAAGAAAGAAGTAAAAGGGTTTTAGTATTTGGTGTAAATAATAATAATAATAAATAATTACTTTTAAAAAAAAAAATAGTATTTTCATAATCTAGTGGGTCAATCCCTCGATAAATTTTAAAGTGTCAAATTACACACTTTATATAAAGGAAAAAAAAAAAAAAAAAACAAAAAAGCAGAAAAAAAAAAAAGTCAACGCCAAAATTGGTAATTGAAACTTTCATATCGTAATGTGGTTTTGGTTGACGTTTTAAGAATATCCTAATGAATCCCCTTTCTTTCCAAAATTTTATATACAGGATTAAAGATTTGTTTGATTTATTGTTTGAGAGTATTTTTTTTTTTTTTAAATAGAAATGAAAATCAAGATATTATACAAAGACTTGTTTCATCAGCTTTATAAAAATTGCTTTTAGAAATTTTGTTTTTTTTCTAAAAAAAAAAGATGTATTTTTAAAAAATTGTCTTGATAATTCTCTAAAAATAATTTTGCTTTTTAAGTTCTCAAAAAAAAGAAATAAATAAATAAAATTTGAACGAAACATGCCCAATTGCCCATAGCTTTTTCCTTTATTTCTCTCTAACCAATATGGGTATTAAATATCAGTGCCAAATTGCCCATATATAGTGGGATCCGTATCACTCAGTAATTTGGATATTATCACCAAATTTGGACAGAGTTAAATTACATTTGATTATTTCGTTGAAAATAAAATCAATAGTATATAAATTGGAGATGATAAAAGGGTATGAAATTACGTTAAAATATATATATATATATATATATAAGGGCATGAAATTGATTGAATTTATCTGTCGTTTGGTAGATAGAATGTTCAAATAATTGGAAGGAAGGTAATGGGTGTTATTCAATTTTTGTTTGGTCGAATATAAATAAATGTTAAGATGAAATATTTTTATGTTTGGTTGAAATGAAGGAAATGAGAGAATTTTATATATATATATATATATATATATATATTACCAGTATATGCTCATTGTATAACTTTATAAAATTAGTAACAAAACAAATTTTATAAATAATTGAAGACTAAAAATGATATTATATATTTATGAAATTTGCCTCCTTTCTTCCCTTCTTTCGGACTTAACTTTGAAAACATTTTTCAAAACATACTATAATTGTGGGATTCCATTTGAAGATTTAACCCCTTTTTTTTTTAATTATTTAAATTGTTCAAACATTCAATTCTATTACAATTCATTCACAATTTTTTTTTTCTCAGTGACCAACAAATCATTCTTCAATAGAAGAAAGCTAAGCTACAAAATTAATTAGGGGTAATATAAATATGCAATGCTTCTCGTTGTTAGATCGGGTTGTTCTCGTTGTGGGAGAGAAATTGTTGACTAGTGTAGCATGCAATGTCTCTCTTTCCACACAGGGCGGCCTTTGTGTTAAATGCCATAAACTTCTTAATTTTTATGAATCATTCTTATTCCAAGTGCAAAATAATGCCATTATTAATCAATTTTAATAAAAAAAATATTTTGATTCAATTTTCATTAGTTGGAAATAGTTAAAAATAAATAAATAAATAAAAATCCCTGTAACGACCCTAAACTGATCCCATTTTAAAAAAAAATCGGCATGACCTCCCCTAAAAAAGGGACTACCACAATCTACTCAAATAAAAAATGCAATGGCCCTTCTTGGCCTTTCAAAATACCTCCAACCTGTCCCAACACATAAAACAAATAATATACTCCAACATCCCATTCATCCGTTCATTATACCTCAACATGGTTCATCTCATGGTGGAACATTTACATACCGTTTAATCCAAAATATCATAATTATAGTCTCAAAATATAGTTACAATAACAAGAGTTCACAAATCTCTATACCAAATATAACGAACTAAGATTTTACAAAAAATATGGGACTTAATACAAAAATAGCAAAAAGAAGTCTTCTAATCCAAATTAGGCCTGTGGTGGAAAGTCATCCGCCACTTCTTTCCCGTTCCCTGAAAAAAATTATTAAATAATAGGGTGAGCATAAAGCTCAGTAGGTAGCATTTAAGACACGCTTCTTGTGTCACCATGAATCCATACAAAAAATAGAGTAATGGGAAATGGGGATCATACAATTCCGGGATAAAACCATATAACAATCAACTTTCAAGTATAAACAAGGAGGTGCTATGTAATGCAATGTATGACAATGTCTCTCCTCATTTTCACTTTCAAACCATCACTTTCAAACTGTTAATATAACCCGCCCTTTGGTGACCCCGCAACGACACGAGAGAAGGATTAGCTAGTGTCCCTGACCCTTGGTACCCCCGCGGCGTCATTATGGGGGCCAGCTAACTCAACCACGCTAGGGCGACTCCCTAGTTTCCTCCAAGGTATATTAACCTTCCGGCCCTTTAGTACCCCCGCGGCGACCGGGTTTTCATAAAACAGTTTTTTTTTTTTTTTTTCATAAAAACTCTTTCCCCAAATTTTTCCTTTTTATTTCAAAATCATTTCTTCCCTTTCATGCCCAATGTCAATTCATGGATGCTTCAAGGACATGCATATACTCATCATTCCACAACTAGTCCAATTTAAGCAACATGGCATAATTCATAAGAATATCAAGAAAAGCAAAACATGTTTTCAAACAACAAGAATCTAAGCAAGATGAATACATACAGTCAATTCTTACACATGCTCTTCACATAGAACCATTAACACGCATAGTCACTTAATCAACATGTAGGCATACGTATCAACAATTTTCTAGATATCAAACATTTAATCAAATTAAGCAACAATTATAGGGAATTAACTCACTAAAGTACAAAATTTCTTGCATTAAGGGCCCCTACCTCTCAAATGCGAAAACCCTCAAAATGGGTCAAGAAATTCGAAGGTCAAAAGGAGGCTCAAAGCTGGAATTGCTGGTACTGATGCGTAAAGTCCGTCGTGAGCTTCGTTTTGCCTCAAACGACACTTAAATCCGGCAAGTAATGAGTGAGTAATCAAGCCTCAAAGATTGGAAATAAAATAAGAAGAAAAGATGAAGTTTGAGAAAGTGAGAAAGCTGTAAGTTGGGAGAGAGAAAGTGAAGGTGGAAATGTGGTCTCTAGACCACTTATGAATGGGTGGTAGGTCCCACCACCATTTTTTTTTTCTTTTTTTCTTTTATTTTCTTGTTCTTTTTGCACCACACAAATATATGTCTATACAAACTATATAAAACCCACATAAATTACATTAAATAAATTACATAAGATGCCAATGGACCTAGCCAAAATCCCCGTACGCGATAACACCAGTAATGGGTCCCACACGGGACCGTCCGGCCCGAAAAACGAAAAAATGCGAAAATAATCAACCTTGCATTTCAAAGAGTTCCGAACTCAATGAAACGTCCCAAACAAATAACCAACATACCCGGCACACCCCACGGTGTCCGGTATGCGAAACGTGAAATGACGAAAATGCCCTTACGGTGATAAAATTTTCAAAAAAATGAAAAATGGTAAAAATCGGAAACGTCACAATCTACCCTCCTTAAAGAGATTTCGTCATCGAAATCTACCATCCTTAAAAAAAAAAGGCACAACCACACACCTTCTTAAGAAATACTTCACAAAACCCCAAGGTAAGGATTCAACAACCTTATTACCTTTGACACCGGCGCCAACAGGCAATTACACTCTGCCGCCAGAAAATCCAATGATCACCACCCTATGAGGGAACTCATCACTCACATTATCATACACAAAACCCATTGAATTATATACTGGACTTAAGACCGATACTGGTCCCTCTACACTGCTACATAATACTTCGGAGCTCGAAAAGAATGGTCACAAGACCCCTGAACATAACAACATCTTATCACAACTCATCCTTCTAAAGGGCAACCCAGACCCTAAACGAGGAACCTCATCCACCACACAGTCGGACTCAAACTCCATCTACACATCTCTGTCCAACCAATACTCGTCATCTAACATACAACTATACTCCTACAAAATCATACAATGACCACCAACCACACTAATCGATAATTATCATACTGGTCAACCTCAAGATAACTGATTGATGAATCTCCCAACAATTATACCATCATGAGTCACCAAACCAATAAGCGTACTATCCTGTGCCCAAGGCACAATTTCTCGAAACAAGATCTTTAAGAATCAATGATTGTACCACTAACCCGTTATCAAACACCCAATACCACCTAACACCTTTCGTCACCCAAGATAAATCATGTAAGTCCATATTGTCACACCCACACAACGTACAGTACCATAATCTCACAATCATTAACAAGTCGGAACGATCATTGACCCTTAACCCGATATCTTGCCAAAGAATGATTGATTCAGGATAAATGGTTAGCCAGGTCATTCTCATCATCGATCCGATCTCAACACAGATATTATTCCTGCCCTCAGGTCCAAATCTTAAACACAACCCTATACAGTCCACAAAACAACCATAAGATCCACTTTCTAATCATCCATCGCTTTACACAACCTCAACAATTATACAGTCACATACCTATCATCATAATCTCAATCATACCTTAACTGTATAACCGTAACAAATAAAATGACATAGCACCAAATGTCTCAATCATCGATCAGCATCAAAGCTCTCCAATTTTTTTATAATACTCATACCAGGTAAACAATTCCATAACACCATTCGTTTTAATCTTACATCTTCAAAATGCTCGATATGACCGTCTCATGCCTAAAACCTCACAACCAAGGTCAATCATTCCTACAATTGTGATACCCCCTAATTTCGAAACACGGGTTGATCAAATCCGCGCACAAAATTAAGGGATATCAAAACAATTAAAGTATTTAACAAGCACAAAGTACAAAAAGAAAATAAAAAGAATAAATAACTCGCTGAAGGAAAATCTATTAAATAATAAATCCATTAACAATTATCCAATGGTTACAGCTCGGGAATCCCATAACTTAAGGACCCCTTAAAACATTATCCAATATTACTTAAAAGTACACAAGATAAATAGATGAATGATAGTCTCCCAGCTGCGGATCCTCAACCTCGAGA